ATTACATTTGAATGTTGCTGTATGCAACATTATCAAATTATCACAATCCTTTCACAATGACCTAGGGAACATGGGGGAACACACAATGGGCTTGCATTAGAGCCCAGGGTCCTTTTTCCTGTTTTCACCTGATACTATCTCTTCTCCTATGACCCAAGCTAGACCTATCCTTGTGACACCCACTGATATAGTCATCACCCTAAAGCATGTATTGTTTATCTGGACTGACACCATTGTATCCACCAGAGCCAGAACATGAAATCCATTATTGACTGCCACACCACATTCCTTTCCAATTGCACCCCTCTCAAGGATAGATCAATAAATGGATATACTCTTCAAAACAATTCAGTGAGATTTATTTAAGTTTCCCATTACAATGAGGACCAACTAGCAATGACATCCTGAAGCAACCACAAAGTGGATCCTAGCCAAACACTTTCTAGACCAATCAGAAGCTAGTGCAGGAATCTTGAATAGCTGTCAAATGTAATAAATATGCTTTGTATTCACAATTGTGGCGTGACAGTTCTTTGGAGTGCTTTTTCCTCTGACATCCTCTCTGACCATTGAGAATAAACCTATGATTTTACCTTCAACCTGTCTGTCTCACTTGGTTGTCTGGGAAGCTGGATACAATAGGCTCCAAACCAGCAGTTCTTGTAAAAGCCGAAACAACACAAATATATTTCCTTATGATACGAAGTGATTGAAACAAATAAAATCCTCATAGTAATTATTAACATACTAGCAAACTTTGGCCATTGAAGAGACTTAACAGTTATGGTGCTGCTGAGAAAAAAAAGAAGACTGAAACAAAAGTACTTGAAATTGAAACTGCAACATCTCCACTACAAACTACAACAAATTATTTTTCAGAATTGAGCAGTGAATCATTTAAATAGAAATAATTAATAAACTAAATGAATTTCAAGAGACTCATTTTGTCTTGCAGCATAACTCATCATTAACATATCCTTACACAATGCATAGCACTAACTACAAGTGTCCGTTTCCCCACAATTTTCATTTCAGGGAGAGATGTTCTCACTAAATTTGGAAGAATTCTGTGCTAAGTGGATTTTTGGAATTGAAGCCAAAATATAGCAGCAGAAATTCACTAAGGCAATTGTGAAACCTAGAATGTGACTGTTTTGTGTTCACAATCCCTATATATTTCATAATTTAAGTGATATATAGTAGGCATGGACAATCCAAGGTTCTAAGTGGTTCTAAAGTATTTACAAAACTAGGGGTTGCTGGTGCTTGGCTTCTAAAGTGTTGCTAAACTTCTGGTAATGAAAATTTTAGAACTCTAACAAAACTTTCAAAATTTCATTATAAATGGCAGTTCCTCATTGGTTCTGTCATAAAAATCGCCAATAACAAAATAATAATTAAATTTTCCAAGTTTTGTTAGAGTTCTGAAATTTTCACCACCAGAACTTTAGCAACACTTTAGAAGCAAAGCACCACCGCCCTCTAGTGTTGTAAGTACTTTAGAACCATTTAGAACCATGGATTGCCCATGCCTACTCTATAGGGATTCTGAAAGTTCTCAAATTCTGACTTACTGAACAGCAGCCGTGTTCCCCTGCAACTGACTATTTAGTTTCAAGTACAGATCAAGTTCTGTATGTGGCATAAAGAAAAGGCAATGATGAATGAGATCAAGTTTGTTCTGCCAGCATTTTCACAGGGTACAGATGGAATTTATTTGGTTATGGTACAAAGTATCATAACTCTTGAAACCTTGACCCAAGAGACTTTTTAAAAAAATCAGTTTATTTGAACTTTGGATACTTGAGGCAGTTTTGGAAGTCTAGAAAATTTCTAGGAATTTCTCCATATGTTCCAAATTCCATGTGAGAATTCCTAGAAATTTTGATTAAATAGTCCTCAATAACAGTGCTATTTGATTAAAATAGCACTGTTACTGAGGCTTAACAGACATACACATTCAGATTTATATTTTTAAAGGGGGTATAAATCTGCTGTGGCTGCTGATATTGGAGTCAAATGCATTTGAAATTGATTGGTACATTTTGAAATCTTTGGCACATGTTACCCAGTTCAAAGAGCTGAGAATAAAAAGGTCATAGTCCTTTTACCTTTGTATGTATGTATTTATTTAAGTTTGTAACCCATTTTCCATCCAAAAAATTCCAAGCCTTGCTAACAAATCATTAATTTGACAGTATCCTCTCCTCAGGCTTCCAATATAAATAAGACACGAAACATAAAGAAAAAGGGAATGGCAGTGGATTGGGGATCAAGTCCAATAGGTGCTGGCTGTTCTTCTCTTCCTCAGAGGCCAGAACATAGTCACCTGGAACTTGGAGCCAGGGTCTCTTGCCATCTTCTGGGTCAAAGCACATAGCATCTATGCCTGGCTATTTTTTTTCCTTTAGAAGAAGGATCTCTTATTAGCTGTTTGGGACAAGTCTTGATGGAGCTGAAATAAGACCTCTCATGATGTACAGGTAATTTCTGAAATACTCTAATAGCTCCACTTTCAGTAAGTAGTGAATCCTTTCTGGACACAAGTCAATACTTTGAAATCAATATCCACGGTGCTGAGCATATTCTTTTTTGGAGGGTGGAGGTCAGCACTTTGGTTAGTTCCTAAAAATTCAGATTGGAAATGGAATGGATTTATAACCCCACCGACACTGGAACCACTAGCCTTACAAATAAATAAACAACTATTTTTATTTAAAAAATAATATCAACAATTTGTAATACACTTTAAAATACAGCTGTCTCTTACACCTACATTTTTCAGTATTGTGTACTTTGAATGTTATTATGGTATTTATTTAGTTATTAATTCAAAATTTCACCAGACCACTGAATGGCTTAAAATTGCCATTGCCTTAATGGACATAACTAACAAACCAGCAACAACTCATTTCTTACAGTTAAAAACTGGAAAGCATAAAAAGTCTAGTTACCTGACTTGAAATTTGCAAGCTTTAGCTTTATTTAAAACTATGTACAATCTTACAAGATGGATGGATGGCATCCTTGAGGTGACTGGCTTGACCTTGAAAAAGCTGGTGGTGACAGCCGACAGGGAGCTCTGGGTGGGCTGGTTCATGAGGTCATGAAGAGTCGGAAACAACTGAATGAATGAACAACAACAATCTTTCAAAGAACATACATTATCAAAACTGTAAGAGGGGGGAAAGAACTATATACAAGGAAAAGAAATATTCAGCCTCTGTCATTACTTTCTTTATTCTTGAATATACTTTATGATAATCTGTCACAAATAATGATAGATTCTGAAAGCTTTGTCACCTCTTAATTCTTAATCAGTTCCCAATTCTTAATCTATGTCTTGATTTGTGTTATGTAGTGCCACCCCATCTGATGCTACGGCTCTGAGAACATCCTCGTAAACATAAAAATGTCTGTCTGCATTCTGAGTGGGTCACATAGACCTTAAGTCAGACTTTCCACATATGCATTAAATATTGCTCATGCACCCTTTTTTATTTTTAGCTCTTAAGTTCTATAAAACACTAGTACTTGGAATACACTTTAGATCAGCCAGTCATGTGAGTATGTCAGACTGAAAGCACCTCCTGGACATTAATGGATTGTCTGCTCAAACTTATTGTTTGCTGTCTGCTTGGCCATCCCAGTTTTGCATCCCATGTGAGAGGATCAGTAGGTCTGATATTTCACTTGTACTCAACATGAACTCTGTCAGTTGCCCACTTATTACAATGTGTTGCATATAGGCAATCTTGGCAGCCTTTGGATATTTCCAGTGGTCCCAAAACACTTTTGTTGTTCTTAACAAATACATGTGGGTTCATTTTAAAAATACTGATTCTTGTCTTTTATAGTCCTATATGAGTATAGAATAGCCTTCTTCCATATAATGCTTTCTAAATGTTCTGGACCACATCTTCGCTATGGAACACAGGAATCCTCCCATGTTCCTGGCACTGCCTCTTATGACAGTTCAACCTCACTTCAGGCACTGAGCCCCACCGGAAGTAGATCTACAACATACGATGGGTTCTGAGCTTGAAGTGAGGTCAAACCGTTATGGGATGGACAATTTTGCCTGTGTGATGAGGTCATAGGTCTTCTACTATGGATTTGAATTTTGTGGAGGATTATCAACTTATTGTTCCAGGAAGGATACATTTTGGTACTAATTAATTTATCTATAGCTACTAGGCTTGTGCAATTTGGTTGGAGTGCAATCCATTTTTGGTATCTGAATTTTGTTGGGTACCCAGATCCATTTTCGGGAGCCTCCTGAAAATCGGTTAATGGAAAAATCTGTTTTTGGCTAGGCAGCCAAAAGATCCTGGAAGATCTGACCCATTGGCAGGAATGGGGAACTTACAAGGCTAATATATTACAAGAATAAAAATAAAAATATATCTTATTATGAAGGAGAACATTTCTAAATAGCTTAACATGAAATAAGTGTAATTGTCAGTCCCAACTAAAGTGACAGAGTGTTACAAAGTTCCGATTATTTCAGTAGATCTAGTCTACTTGGACCAAACAATTGGATTCATGCCAGATATTTTACCAGGACTCTCAAAACTAAAAGAGTACTTATTCGAAAAGTTTCTTATTGAGGTCTAAGTAAGTTGTTCACCTGACAGGAACCACAGGCTTGTTCAACTACTTCCATTTGGAAACTTGTTGTTATTGTGAAACTTCAATCCATTTATGATTTATGGTGGTCATAAGGAGATGCTCTTGGCAAGATTCTTGGCAAGGGGGATTTGCCTTTGTTTTCCTCTGAAACTGAAAGAGCGTGACTTGCCCAAAGTTACCCAGTGTATGAAATTGGCAAACAAACATAGAATCAACCCTACTAGATTTCCCAGCAATGGTCATTGCTAACTCATGGGATTTCTAATGTTGGCAAGTGCTTGCTTATAAATCATCTAGAAATTATTTTCATCAAATGCAAAAAGGGTCATATGACCATTTGAAGACAACATATTTAATTTAGTGTGATCTTTCATGATTTATAAACAATACAAAGCATTCTCAAACAAATGTCAGCTATCACGGGTTCTTTTTCCTTTGCTACTAAAATAAAATATCACTCCTTTGAAATTCATGATAAGATTATTTCAACAATAAATAGAAGTTTAAAAGATAGTTTAAAAGATAGATAGTTTATTCACCCAGAGAGAGTTCGCCTCCAGCTTGGCTTTAATTTATATGTGCGTATGTGTTTTGCAACACATCTACAATCACCCCTTGGTTTTCACAGATTCTGCATCCATAGATTCAGCCAACCATGGTGCAAAAATATATTTTAAAAATATCCCCATAGCAATGCTTGATTTTGCCATGTACCAAGCACTAGGCTGATGTGTAGTCATAACCTTCTGTAGCCTCCTGTCATGTCACAGGTTCTCAGGCTCCTTCCAGCATTCCTTTGAACTTCTCACCATTTTATATAAGGACATATTTTTACTACACCATTATGGGACTCGAGCATTCATGGATTTGGGTATCCTATCCACAGGGAATCAAACCCTAGCGGATGTCAGGAGTCCACTGAATTTGATACTGTATTGAGGCAATATAAATTAGATGCATGATAACAACATTAGACTCTGTTCCAGGAATAATGCAGGCTGGAGGGCTGAAGAAAGAGCATCAGTGACCAATACAGTCTTTTTCAGAAGGCCTTAGATGTGAATGCCTCTCCTCTACTATTTCTTTTGAATTTTTGTGAGGGAAGACCGTCTGTCTTAGTCTGATATGCTCCAATTGGTGCTTCAAGAAAAGAAGGGATTGCTTGTGAGATGAAATTTCTGTTGAAGATACAGCAAGGATGAACAGTATTATTATTAACAATATTCTTCAGGCACCACTGAAAACACTGTTGGCATAAAGTCCTTCATCTCTTCTATGTGCAACCAGTCAAATCTATGTCAGACTGGCTCTATGTTCAGTGAAGATTCTGCAACAGAAAAAACAAAAGCAAAAATACAGTTGTGAAAACGGATCTTGCATTTTACAAAAACTTTAAAAATAACCCTGAAGGTCCAGATTTTTGCACTGGATTTCATAATTTGTTATGTTTTAGAACAGCAATCCCCAAAAATGGCTTCTGAACTTTGCTGTTTATGCAGAAATGAAATTCTTCAGTACCATTACCTAGTGTGTGGCATACTGTAGGACCTTATCCAGACTCAACACATCCCACTGTAAATGTTTTGACTAGCATGCCTTCATATAATTGACAGTACACTAAGACCCCCATAACTGCAGAACACATATCTGCACCCCTCTAGACATTTCCTAGATTCTCCAGGTGATCTATGGTATGATTACGCCAGATGCTACCAAAGAGTTATGCTGGAAGACCTAGCAAATTTCTAGAGAGGATAAATCTCAGTAACCAAGTCATTTAATAGTGTTTGATTTCAGACAACTGTGATCCAGCTGGGAAGGTATCCCTTATGGATATGGAGATCTTAATATAAATATTTTCTGAGTACATATGAGAGTGGTCATTGACCTTTTCTATAGAGAAGCTTCCTCTCTAAAGGTATTCTTTATTTTGATGGCTATCCCATTCAAATCTAGTTTAAAAATCAAGACATAGAGGAAGGAAGAAGAGAAGTCTTGCTGCTACAGATCAATAGTTAGGATTAAGAGACGAAGCAGGCACAGATGTACCTAAATCATGGTTTTCCCACTTTAGGTTTGCCTATCAATTAACACATGGGAATTTTTATTTATGTTGCTACATAAAACAAGACATGCAGATCCAGTGATGTAGAAATGGCTCGTACTACACCCTATTAATATTCCTCATTTGGAAAGTGATTCAATTTCCAGTACATTTCTCTATGCATCAAGACTATTTAACCTGTCACTAGCTGGTAGTGATTCAGTTAGTTCTTAAAATATGACTTCTCTAAAGTTTAGAAATTAGTCGTTTTTTAATGTCTTTTTTGCCCTAACTTTTAATTAAGAAGAAAATGAAGAATTTTTTTTTGGATGCATAGTGTTTCAAAGAGAAGAAGATGAGCATACATAATGACAATCATATTGTTGTTGTTTTTTTTTTAAAAAAAAATTAAGCAGTAGTTAATATACATAGGATTTTAAAAATGACAAATTCTGTGTGTGTGGATTTTTTATTCATTTATTTATTTACTATATTTTTGTTGCTATTGTCGTGTGCCTTCAAGTCATTTCAAAGAAAGGGTGAGTATGACTTGCCCAAGGATATCCAGTGAACCGTGGTCTGCATAACTACTAGGAGAAGTAAATCAAAGTGATAAATGGAAGGAATGCATGAGTTTACCCTCTTTCTCACAAATATTACCCTGCAAAGGTTGAACTCCACTCCCCCCCCCCCCAATAAAATACCAAGAAAAATAAACATCAACAAACACAGAATCATAATAAGGGGAAGCAAGGGGGGAGGGAGAGAGAAGGAAAAAAAGAGAAAAAAAGAAAAAAAAACAATTGCAGTATCTTTTAATTATATGGTCAGTGTAGACTCATATAATGCAGTTTGATGCAATTAAGCTGCATTATATGATGGTGTAGATGAGTTCTACAACTGCATGGCACTAAAAGAAGAATACATTAATTTAAGCCGTCTTTCCAGAGAAAATTGCATCTATTTACACTTAAATGGAACAGAGAAGGCTTGCCATGCATACTTACCTTATGGTCTTTTCTTCCTTAGGGGCACTTGCATCCTGTGGCATGTAAAATTTCTGAATTTGGGAGACGATGTATGGTCAATTTTACCTTTAAAAAATGAAGAATAAATTGTCACTATAGTTTATGCTTTTCTTTTTATTAGTAAGATTTTTTATCAACTTTTAAAAGCAGGATGTAATAAATCCACATCTTTTCAAAACTGTCAGCCTTCTGCATCTTCAGGTTTCAGAGAGCTTGATTTTAACGTGATAGCTTATAATTGATGTTCTTTCACTGCCACATGCTTTAATATCATAAACCATCATGGGACCTCTACTGAGATAAGGGTGAGATATTAAATAAGTAAGTACATAAATGCATTTTCATCTGCCCTGATCACATGTAAAATAATGCTTGAGGGAGAGGTTTCTGTTTAGAAGGAACAAAAATACTTGAGAGAGAAATTTCCCCCTCCCTTCTACCACCTTTCTTTGCTTGAAGCTTTCTCATTACCAGCTCAGGTAAAACAGCAGAGCAAAACCTGCAGGCAGTTGTAGCTGCAGAAAATAGAGAACAAGGAAATTCCCCCATGTATTTTCCTTCACTCTCCAGAATTCTCGTATTGCAGATAACAAGAGACTGAAAGCTATTTCGAGTCAGAACTCTCATTTTCTGGGTCTGTATTCCCTTGATAACTTTGTCTGCCACTTTTAAAATTTATTTCTCAGTGCTCAATTGGAATGTTAAGTTACTACAATGCTAGAAGAATGGAGACTGGAGGAGAGTGGGAGAGTTTTTGTTTTGGGGAAGATGCCCTTATTTTGTCTCCCCTATACATATAACACTTTTGATAGGGCAAAATTTTTTTTCCATAACAGACACCCATAACACAAAAGAAATGTTGTCCTCGCCTCCTTTTTACCTCTTTATTTTCATAGCACATTTGAATTTTTTCCCACTTTATGCCAAAACTGAGCAGATGGGAACAGAATATAGTTTTTTCCCTTGTGTCAGGAGTAACTTGAGAAACTGCAAGTCACTTCTGGTGTGAAAGAATTGGCCATCTGCGAGGACACTGTCTGGATGCTCGGATGTTTTACCATCCTGTGGGAGGCTTTACCTCATGTCCCCATATGGGAAGCTGGAACTGACAGATGGGAACTCACCCCATCTCGTGGATTTGAACTGCCGACCTTCAGGTCAGCAGTTCACCTGACACAAGAGTTTAACCCATTGCGCCACCGCAGCTCCACATACAGAATACAGTGATGTGACTGGACTGCCAAGCTTAACGTGGCATTGGCAGAAGTTAAAGTATATATAGGGTACTAGATCTCTTTCTCCCTATCAAATATAACAGTACTCTCTATCTTTCTATGAAGTGCTGTGATGAACATTTTCATCAGTTGATGAAGAATTGGTTAGTGCGAATGAATTACACTGTGATAATTTTAGCAATGAGAGCTACCCAGACCAGCTGTCCTTTCCCACTAACTGAGTATTACCTATGTATAAGATGAGAGTAAAAAGGTTCATATACATGATAAAAGTCAAACCAAGTCCTTGTTTTTCAAGTTATACAGTATATTCAAAAGAGGCATGATTACTGATGCCAAACGGTAATTGGATGTAGCACAAAATAAATGCAAACATATGCAAAGCCAATTGTTTCAGCCAGTAGAGCAAACTACTTTACTATGGAATGAGCCTAAAAAATTCAAGCCACATTAAATGACTGTCAGTGACAAGGTATTTTGTGATATTAGCATGGGTTGTTAGTGTTATAAAGATTTTAAAGGCAATGAAAACATAGATGTATGATGGATAGAGAGATGGTGAGCAAGGTTTAAAAAAAAGATTTGGTAGTTGTGTCTAAAAAATAAAAGTGTCAGCCACAATGTTCCAGTTCCTCTCCATTTTGGTTGTGAATAGAATCTTTCTCTTTCTAATCTCTCAGGGCCCTTCCACACAGCCATATAACCCAAAATATCAAGGCAGATAATCCACAATATCTGCTTTGAACTGGGTTATCTGAGTCTGTATAATCCAGTTTAATGAGGATTGTATACAGCTGTGTGGAAGAGGCATCAGTTGATAATAGCAGGGAAAGTATTTTTCCACTCGTCGTGATTTTTCTTTGACTCTCCACCCTTCTGTTTTGCCCAATTCCTCACTATATCCATTGTGTTTATAATTTTGTTTTTTCTTCGTGGTCTCTGCGAATGCACACTTGTGGAGAGACTGCGCCTGCGCGGGCTCCAACGGAAAACTTCTACTTTTGAAACTTTTGAAGTTTTGGCGGTAACCCCGCCCAGCCCCGGCAGGGGATAAAAGGGCGCCCCGCGCGCGCGCTCCAATTCCTTTCTTTCCGCCGCACGGCTCACTTCGGTGCTTCTTGTGTTCGGATAGTTAGTGGATATTGTTGGCTAGTGATCGGATAGTTTCCTTAAAGATCTTCATCGGGTTGTTGACCGTAGTATGTCAACAACTCGCTTCAAGAAGTGTGCGAGATGTCCGAAGAAAATCCCTGACTCGGACAGTCATTCGCTCTGCCTTCTGTGCCTCGGCGAGGCACACATTACATCGACGTGTCGTCATTGCCAGGCCTTGACGGCTCAGTCCCGTAAGAACCGGGCGCATCGTCTTCGGTACCTCCTGTACCAACAGGCGTTGGCCCCGGTGCCCTCGACGTCGACGTCGACATCGGCCACGGTGTCCCGGCCTTCAGCGGCTGACCCCTCGGTACGGACTGAACCTCGGCAGTCGAGGAGGGCTGCGCAGAAGAGGCCGAGGACTATGATGTCGACAACTTCGAAGGCCTCGGTGTCGGCGGCTTCCAAGGCTTCAAGGCCTGCGAAGCAGCCTCCTTCGCGCTCGGTCACTTCTGAGACCGTGCGCATTCGGCATTCGTCGACCAGCTCGGTGGCGTCGGTGAGGTCGGTGGTGTCCACGAGGTCGACGTCGACTCCGCCATCTTCCACGGCGGTTCGCATCGCCTTCCGCCGATCTCAGGAGGAATCTCGACGTGCATCCACCCCATCTCCCGTTCCGCCCACCCCGGGCAAATCTCTCTCAAAGACTGCACAGCCTCCAGCTAAAAAGAAGAAGACGATGCCGCCACCTTCTTCTTCTTCCTCCTCTCGCCGGCAGACCACTGCCTCTTCAGCCACTTCATCGGCGAGATCATCACCGGTACGGCCTACCGTATCGCAACCGGCCCCACAGACTGCCCAAGAACCGCAGCCTGTACCAATGCCTCCTCCTCCTCCTGAACAGCCCGAGTCCCCGGAGATTTCGGTGGACACGGTCATCGAGGCACCTTCTCGGCTCCCGACGGCCAGACAGGAGCTTTTCCCGCCGGTCGCGGCCTTGACGACTGTGACAGCCACACAGGAGACACAGTCGATACTCCAGACCCCAGAAAGGGGCAGGCAGACCATGAGGCTGGCTAGTGCCATTCGGGCCTCGACCTCAAAGGCCCCACCACCGCCGCCGCTACAGCTGCAAACTCGGGATGTCTCTGCATCCCCACCACCCCGTTCCCTACCTCCTGATGACGAGGAGGAAGAGGGCGAGCTGCCGGGATCGGTGCATTCGGGATCGGTGTTGTCTCTCGGGATCGAGAAGTCTCCCACCCATGACGCCTATGAGGCGGATCCACCATCCCCGACTGACAATGTCCGAGCCTTTGCGGACCAAATGGCTCGGATGGCTGAGACTCTGGGCCTGGAGGTCAAACAGACTTCCACGGCAGTGACTGATCCTGTTTTCAAGAGGGTGCAGAAGGAGTCCCCACCAGCTCCCCTGCTACCTTTCCTTCCCTATCTGCTTGAGGTGATCCAGGGCTCCTGGAAGACCCCCTCCTCTATTCCGCCGACGTCGAAAAAGATCGAGTCCTGGTACAGGACTGATGACGAGGGTCTAGAGTGGCTGAAACACCACCCCGACCCTAACTCGGTGGTCGTGAAGGCGGCTCAAGGGTTCGGTCGGCAATCTTCTACGCCCTCCGACCGTGAAGGGAAGAGGTTCGATGCAGTGGGCAGAAAGCTCTACTCTGGTGCCCTCCTGCTGGCCCGCATGGCAAACTATGGAGCTTGCATGGGGGCATACCAACAGATCCTGTGGGAGAAGGCGGAACCTTTCTTCCAAAGGATGTCGGCTGAAGACCGGGCTGCCATGTCCACCCTGGCTCAGGAGGCCCACTCCTTGGCGCATCACCAGATGCAGATGGCCAAGCACACGGGGGACACCGCGGGCAAGATGATTGCTCACGCAGTGGCAATCAGAAGACATGCCTGGCTCAGATCTTCGGGCCTCTCCACATCATCGAGGCAGGTGATAGAGGATCTCCCGTTCGACGCCCTCGGGCTTTTCAATGCGGGAACGGACGATAAACTAAAGTCCAACCATGAGTTCAAGACTCTGGCTTCCAAGTGCGGGATCGAGAACCAGGGTCAGGCACAGCGTACCAGATGGTACCAGTTCAAACGCAGGCACACGGTCCCGTACCGTACCATCCAATACAGGCATCCAACCCGTCCTTCACAGTCCCCTCTGCAAGCCCAGCCTCAACAGCCTCAACAACAGAGGCGTCAACACCAGCAGCAGCGCTCCCGCTCCCGACAGGCTTCAGGAGGCAACCAGGCCAGGCGTCGCATTTGACGCGCTGGTGGACGATACCGTTTGCGTTTCCGTTACAGATGCTGCTCCCATGTCCCTCCCGAATGTACCCACCCTCATCTTTCCATCCGGCTTGACACTCTTCGGGGATCGTCTGACAAACTTTCTCCCTGCATGGGAAAATATCACCTCAGATGCATGGGTTTTGAAGGTTGTCGACGAAGGCTATGCATTGGAGTTCGAAGAGCTCCCACCAACGGGGCAAGTTGTCGAGACCGAACCATCCTCGGCAATCCTGGCAGAGATCAATACTCTGCTGCTAAAGGGAGCAATCTCCCCTCTCCCGGACTCCCAAAACCATCGAGCCTTCTTCTCCAGGTACTTTACTGTCCCGAAGCCGGACGGCTCCCTTCGCCCCATCCTCGACCTCAGAGACTTAAACTCCTTCATCGAGCATCGAAGGTTTCGGATGGTGACGGTATCGTCCATCCTCCCCTTCCTCCAATACGGGGATTTCTTCGCGTCTGTCGATCTCCGAGACGCTTATTTTCACCTGGCGATCAGAAGACATCACCGACGTTTCCTGGCCTTCAGAGTAGCGGGACAATCCTACAATTTCAACGTGCTTCCCTTCGGTCTCGTGACGGCACCGAGAACCTTCACAAAATGCATGTCGGTGGTCGCAGCAGCCCTCAGAAGGGAAAAAATCCGGATTTTCCCTTATTTAGACGACTGGCTGTTGGCAGCACGCTCGCCGGACCTTCTACAGGCGCAAGTGACAAGGACACTTTCTCTCCTCGAAGACCTGGGCCTTCAGTTGAACGAGGAAAAATCGCAGCTCCAGCCCACCACTTACATAAAGTTCATCGGCGCCATGTTCGATTCTCTCTCCTGGACAGTCTTCCTTCCGGAGGAGAGGTTCAGGGCTCTTCGGGCCGAAGTGCTCAAGGTGCGTCGCTCCCGAGTGGTCCCGGCGAAGCAAGTGCAAGTCCTCCTCGGGCACATGGCCTCCACGGTGATGGTAACACCGCTCGCGAGGTGATGGTGACACCCAGATCCCCCAGCCGTCACAATTACGACGGATGCCTCGATGTTCACATGGGGATGCCATACAGGAGACCTCTCAGTTCACGACCTGTGGTCTCCGCAAGAAAGACAATGCCACATAAATTACTTGGAGCTGCTGGCGATCTTCAAGGCCCTAAAATCTTTTCCCCCCTGATTGCCGGGAAAACTGTCCAAATTCTCACGGACAACACGGTGGCAATGTTCTACGTGAACAAGCAGGGCGGAACGGGCTCGAGGAAACTCCTTACGCTATCGATGGAACTTTGGGATTGGTGTGTGGCCAGGTCGGTGTCGATATCAGCAATACACCTCCCGGGAGAGAGCAACACCGAGGCCGACGCGCTCAGCAGGACCAGGGCGACATCCCACGAGTGGAGGCTACACCCCGACGTCCTGGCGGAGATCTTCAAGGAATGGGGCCTTCCAGTCGCAGATCTCTTCGCGTCGCCGCAAAACGCTCATCTTCCCCAGTTCGGTGCTCGACTTGCTCCGAACACGGTACCGGGATGTCTCGGAGACGCGTTCCTGTTGGACTGGTCGAGGCACCTGCTCTACCTCTTCCCACCGTTCCCGCTACTCCCGAGGGTGATCGAGCGGATCCAGTCGGCGCGGACGGACTGCATCCTGGTGGCACCGGAATGGCCACGGCAACCGTGGTTCCCGGTTCTACTCCAGCTGTCCCAGGGGCAGATGAGGCGCCTCCCGCTTCGGCAGGACCTGCTGTCTCGAGAGGACGGTCAACTCCTCCACCCCGACATCGCTTCTCTGCATCTTTCGGCGTGGAGGATCCGGTGTTGAGGTCGCTGTGCCCAGGAGTCCTCCCGATCTTGGAGGCAGCACACAAGCCGGCCACCAAGAAGTGCTACTCGGCCTGCCTTAACCGTTTCCAGGCCTTCCTTGCCGATAAGGGTCTGGACGATCATCGACCGTCGATACCGACGATCCTTTCTTTTCTGCTGCACCTTACCGAGCGGGGACTGTCGTTGTCTTCACTCAAGTCATATTTGGCCGCCATATCGTGGCAGCTCCAGCGAACAGGGGAGGCTTCCCTGTTCAAAGACAACTCTGTGAAATCCTTTTTGAAGGGTTTCAACAACTTGTATCCCCCGGTTCGGTCTCCGACCCCGGGGTGGGATCTTGACCTTGTACTGGCTAGGCTTGGGCTGCCGCCTTTCGAACCTTTGCTCTCAGCTGACCTGCGGTTGTTGTCATGGAAGGTGGCCTTCTTAGTTGCCATCACCTCAGCCCGTCGGCCGTCGGAGTTGGCGGCTTTGCGGGTGGACGAACCCTATTTTGTTGTCCACGAGGACAGAGTAGTTCTGCGCACAGATGTGACATTTCTCCCCAAGGTTGTATCCCCGTTCCATGTCAATGAGGACATTGTTCTTCCCTCCTTGTGCCAATTCCCCTCGACCCCGAGGGAAAAGACACTTCACATGCTCGATGTGAGGAGAGCATTGCTGTGCTATAGGGACAGAACTGCCCAGTCTAGGCGGTCGCACAGACTTTTTGTAGCGTATGCTCCCGACAAGGTGGGCTTGCCGATCTCGGCGCAACGTTTGTCCCACTGGATTACCTCGACCATCGAGCTATGCTACCAATTAGCTCGACAACAACCACCCTCGGTCGTCCGGGCCCGGTCGACCAGGGCTATGGCGGCTTCGACGGCCTTCCTAAAGGGGATTCCCCTGGACGCTATTTGCAAGGCGGCCATTTGGAAGAATCCCCAAACATTTGTGACTCATTACAGGTTAAACACTAGGTTTACGCCTGACATGGCCTTTGGGAGGGCGGTTCTGGGCTCAGATCCGCTTTAGGGCCCGAAATGGAACATAGGATGCGTACCGACATGGGGTTTTTTCGTGTCGATACTGTGTATTACTGAATGTATTGTGTAACATGTTTATTACTTGAATACTGCTTTCTCGCTGTTGGGAAGGAAGTTGCACCTTTACCCTCGATGCCTTGCTGCCTGGTATTCAGGCTGCCATTCTACTGTTGCCTTAATGGGCCCATTACGGGTATTCTGTGCCATTATCGATGTTATTTGCCTTACTAATGTGTTATATTCTGTCGGTAATTGTTGCTGAATTACTAAGATGGTGCCCTCATTATTGTGAGTGTATTCGGTAATTACCATGTGCTTTATTTTCAAGGGTCATAAGTTTACTCAATTGTTGGTCACCCTGAAGTGACTGGGAGGATCACGTACTCCCATAAGTTCATGCACTATGCCCTTCTTTGGAAGTGATTGCAACCTCTTGTTATGCACTATGCCCTTCTTCGGAAGCGATTACACTCTCTTGTTTGATGACTGTTTTTGCACTTAATAAAATTGTTTGGCCCTTGACTTTTATGGTCGGTTTGCTTCTTCCCGCCTCCGGGACCTGAGCTTGCTAGTCTCCACAAGTGTGCATTCGCAGAGACCACGAAGAAAAATGGTAGGTTACATACCTGTGACCATCTTTCTTCGAGTGGTGCTCTGCGAATTCACACTAACCCGCCCAGCCCCCCTACGCAAACCTCCAATTTCTCGCTACCGTAGCGGCGTAGGAATTGGATCGGTGTGCGCGGGGCGCCCTTTTATCCCCTGCCGGGGCTGGGCGGGGTTACCGCCAAAACTTCAAAAGTTTTAAAATGTAGAAGTTTCCGTTGGAGCCCGCGCAGGCGCAGTCTCTCCACAAGTGTGCATTCGCAGAGCACCACTCGAAGAAAGATGGTCACAGGTATGTAACCTACCAATTCCTTTGCTATTTCTCAGTAATTTAGCTGTCAACTGCGTGAACAATTTCCATCATCTTCACAAGTTCTGTAGTTATGTATATGTATCTTTTCATCAATGCAATAGATTATGCGGTATTGGAACTCTGTATAGGGCCCCATCTACATTGCCATAAAATGCAGTTTGAAGCTGCTTTATATGGTCAGTGTAAACTGCCTCAGACATCTCTCTCTCTCAGATGGCGCATTGTTTGCCAGCACTGTAAGACTGATCCTCCTTCTCAAAAGTTAGAACGTTCATGAATATTCCATGAAGCCATTATTGTTCTGTTGATGCTTTTGTTTGCATGAAAGTCATTTAGACCATTTAAAGAAACTGGTTGGGTAAGGAGCCTTATGGCTCAGCAGCATTTTCTTCCTTTTTGTTTTGCAGAGCTCAAGCTTTAAAAAGAGACATCACGGCTAAGTTCCAGTGAGGCTATGCTTACATAAAAACAAATCATTTACTACCTTGGGGCTAATGGTATTAATGGTAACACATCAAATGATTGGTCATATTTTTGCCTGAAGATTGTGACTAGGCAAGCTTTAGGAATATTTATTCATTTATTTACTTACTACATTTATATCCCTCCCTTCGCACCCCGAAGGGTACTCAGAGCGGCCTTACAGATGGGCAGCAATTTGATGCCATTAAAATGCAGGCAATACAATAAACAAATACTTTAAAACCAAAAAGTTAAAACATATCAATATTAAAACCAATTATTAAAATCACACCATCTAAAATCGTAATCCACTATTCCATATTCTCATGTTGCACTAAAACTTGTTATCCAAAAGCTTGGTCCCATAACAACATTTTACTTTCTTCCTGAAGGTCAGGAGGGAGGGGGACTGCCCTAATTTTGTTGGGGAGGGAGTACCATAGATAAGGGGCCACCACTGAGAAGGCCCTGTCTTTCATCCCCACCAACTACACATGCAAAGGAGGCAGGACCGAGAGCAGAGCCTCCCCAGAAGACCTCCGAGGTGGATCATAGAGAAAGATACGTTTGGACATCTTTTTACCAATGCCTAAACTAGTCACTGAACCAGCAGTATGTATTGGTTTGGCTGCAACTCTGGAGACCAGGGTTAGAATCCCTGTTTGGCCATGAAGACCCACTGGGAGACCTTGGGCCAGTCAAATTCTTTTGGCCTCAATGGCAAAGACAAACCCACTCAGAACAAAGCTTGCCAGGAAAAACCATGATAGATGCATGTTAAGACTGTCATAAGCTGGAATTGACTTGAAGGAACGCAACAATAAAACTAGTCATGGCTTCGCTCGATACTATTAACAAGTAGAACTAGTGGTCCTTACCTCTTTTCTTGTGGATCTGCTTGTGAACAAAGAAATTTCATCTATGTTCTTGACATGCATATCATTCACAGCCACTATGTAATCCCCTTGGTGGAAAAGACATCCTAAGCGATGTGGATCACTCCACTGGGAGACACTGTGGTGGACCAAAGACAAGATAACAACAAGCATGAACCATCATCCTACTCTTTGATGTGGAGGTTGTAAAAATCTGGAGTCCTAGAACACCTGAAAGCCTGGCATTAAAAAATGCAGACAACTTGAATGAACCTGACAACTATCTAATCAAATCAATAAAAATTCAGATTATTTATAAGTGAGGATATGAAATTTGAGTACATTATTATGATCTTAGACTGCACTGCTGCATTTTATTATAAGATACAAAGTTTTGTCTCAGTCTCATATAGAGAAAAAAGAAAAATTATAAAAATGTTTGATTCTGAATCACTGGGACCGAGATGGGTGGAACAAGTGGTCACAGGAGGTCCCTTTTTGGTCCAGTGTCAGCTACATCAAATTTGCTCCTTTTCCCAAAACTGCATAATTAGGAGATGTCATGGTAGTGCTTTTTAGTCATATTTTTGCAAAAGACTAGTTAAAGCTAGATTTCTATTATTGTAACCAAAATCTTGTACTCCTTCCCCTTTGACAACAGCATTAAATTAACATAACACTGAGAACAGGTAGAAAAGGTAGATCTGGGAAGTAGCTGACAAGCAAACTAGTTATGACACAGAGCTCATGGATTAGGGTAACCACAATATTTATCAGTCTCTGTATGGCCTTCACTGAATTTTGTTTATATGGTATCTATTTTTTAAAAAGGAGTAGAACTCAGTTACATGCACTACAGGATGCTTGACTAGAGATAACATGTCTACCTTAAAACTTCTATAGTTCTATCTATGCACTTATTTTTATTTTTCAGACTAGGCCTGTTTGATCAAGAAAAAATTTGGTTCTAAAATCGTTTTGTAATTGGGGTGTTTTTTTGTTTCGATATTTAAAATAATTACAAAACTTTTCCAAAAAAAGTTTTGGTATTTACAAAATTTTGTAAATATTAACGAATTTTTAGAATATTTTTTTTATTTTTTAAGAATAATATTAAAAATAATATTAAAAAATAATATTAAAAAATAATATTAAAAATATTTTAAAATGGAAAACGAAACCGCACAGGCCTACTATACAGACATAGCGGGTTTGAGTCAGACCCAGCTAACACCTCCCAACAAAGGATTCCCCTGAGCAGGAAGGAGCCAGACTTTGAAGCTACAAGGCCATTTAATCCCAATCAAGCTGTCCAATGGCAACATTCACACTTGCCTCCAACAGACAAGAGTTCTTTCTCCCACCCTGGACCTTCTACAGCCAGGCTTTGAAGCTGCGAGGCCATTCAATGCTAATCAAGGTGGCCAATGGCAGCATTCACATATGCCTCCAACAGACAAGGGTTCTTTCTCCCACCCTGGACGTTATTTCACAGGGATATAAACCCTACTTGCCTAGTTTCCAACAAACCTCTGAGGATGCCTGCTATAGATATGAGAGAAACGTCAGGAGAGAATGCTCCTGAATCCTCCTCCACATGCGGCTGCATAGTGAGTGAAGTACTGTATAATAGCGCTGCATCAGGGGCGGCTGAAGCAACTTACGTGCCAAATCCCTGGCTGTGGGCTGCTTGTCTTGCTTGCTCGCTTCTCCAAGCGGGCGAAAGGAGAGGGAGAGAGAAAAACAGTGTGCTGCTGCCTGTCTCTTTAAGGAAGGAGCACATGGAGCCCTCGGCTGCCGGTTTGGCGGAGGGAGGGAGGCAGGCGCGCGCTTGGTTGCTCTTTTTTTCTCCTCAGCTAAACCCAGAGCAACCAAGCGCGCGCCTGCCTCCCTCCCTCCGCCAAACCGGCAGCCGAGGGCTCCATGTGCTCCTTCCTTAAAGAGACAGGCAGCAGCACACTGTTTTTCTCTCTCCCTCTCCTTTCGCCCGCTTGGAGAAGCGAGCAAGCAAGACAAGCAGCCCACAGCCAGGGATTTGGCACGTAAGTTGCTTCAGCCGCCCCTGATGCAGCGCTATTATACAGTACTTCACTCACTATGCAGCCGCATGTGGAGGAGGAGGAGTGTTGGAAAACGGGGAGAGGGGAAAGAGGGCGGGGAGAGCAGCCCAGGCCGAGAAAGAGGGGAATGGCACCAGCACTCCAGCAGCCTCCATCCCATTAACGAAACGAGCGGAAGCTCGTTAAATTTATGGGGGCTGCCGGTTCGATATTTTTAAACCCTTCCGGGTTTGAAAATGTGTTTTGATATTGCTTCAAAAATGCAAAAATAACGAATTAATAACGAAATAACGAAATAACGAACTAAATTGCACAGGCCTACAGACTATCATGACTATTCTGATTCTTGGTGTTTTATGAGCATAGTGAATAAATGCTGGAATGAGTTGTTAAAAGGAAGCTTATTTGCCTTAAGTTAGTTTATTTTTATCATATGGAGAAAGTGTGACATCTTGTGGTCTACAATGGCTGTATAGTTTATGTTGTTTGGCTTGTCAACTCCATCAAGCCAATATATATAAGAATAACATGCAACTGAAGAATATACTAAGATCTAAACATACTGAAATTATTATTTCTCAGCTATTTAAAGCAGAATCTCCAATGTGTATGAACAAACACATTATTGTTCTTTGACAGACGTGTAGGGCTAGGATGAACAGATTTCTGATTTCAGAATATTCTATGTTTTTGAATATTCTGTCAATTGGAAGCAACTGCACAAAAGTGACTTCGAGTGCAGATACACCCAAATAATACATGCTTGACTTAGACATAATTTTCAATAGGATAGCTGATACCACAATTCTATCATACAAAATCAATTCCTTGTTTTTCCTCCTATACTTCTTGATTTCAGTAGCCCAATGATAGTCCCATACAGCCACATAATGCAACTAGAACTGGTATCCAAAACACTGATTCTGGCCCAGATTGTGACCCAACAAGGACACTCTGAGACACTTTGGCAGCAGAAAGTCATCTCTACTGCTCAGTTTGGTACCACTGCCACCACCCCACCCTCACTGTCACTGCCAGCCATAGCGGCAACAGGGCAACTGACCTCATGCAGTACTGTCTACCGTGTCATGGGGCCCAACTGCTACCCCCTTTTCCTTTTTACAAGGCTATTTTGCCAGTTATCAAGGCTAGAGGCTTCTAAATCAAATGTTTAGCTCAATAAATGAATACATTGAAGCTGATTCTTGTGAAAGCATGTTCCACACTGAAAAGGCATTGTTGAAAACAAACCATGCATTTCTTCATCCAGACGTAATAACTAGGGCTGGGCGGTTTCGTTTCGTAATTTGTTAAAAATTCGGGTTTTTTTTTATAACGAAGCGATAACAAACCATTCAGGAGCAACTAAAAAACGAAACGAATTTTTAAATTCGTTTTGTAATTGTTTCGAATTCGTTTTGTATTTGTTTCGTTATCGTTTTGAAATCGTTTCGTTATTATTTCCGCATGTCTGGGACAAGTTTTATAGTTGTTGTTTGTTTAATCAGTGAAAAAAAATTATAAATATCATACCAACAGTCAACAACAGAGGGAGAGAGAAGCTTCAGAAGTTTCCCCTGTCCCATTTGGAGGTTTTTTAGCGTATTGCGTGGTCGCGTCCGCCATTAACGAATCGATTCGTAATTGTTTCGTTATTGTTTCGTATTGTTTTGTAATTTACGAAATTCCATAAATATCAAACTTTTTAAAAGAAAAATTTCAGAATTCTTTTAAAAATCGAAACGCAAAACCCCCCCAAAAACGAATCGATTTTAGAAACAAATTTTTCTGTGGTTGCCCAGCCCTAGTAATAACAATGGTTGAGAAACACACTTATTTAAGTTTCACTGAAGAACTTCTAAACACCATGAAAAACCACTATTAAAACAAAGATAAGTAATTGACCACCCACTCCAATAGAAATTCCACGTGACATCATGCAAATGAACAAAAACATAAGAAGTCTTACCATACATGCCCAGAAGCTTCCTTAAGTGTTACACAATTGACAAAATCACTCTGGGGAAAGAGAAGATCAACCTCTTGCATCTGATTGTCTTTTGTGATTTTACTGAAAGAGAAAATAAATTATTTTGCAAACCCAAATTGCATGGAGAATAAAATGGAGAACATGCTACTACAAGAGGCTATTAGTAACATTGCTTTCCTAAGTGAGGAAAATAGATAGATAGTCACTTTCTCTGCCATAGCAGCATTATAGGTCTAGACAACTTTACTCCAATTGAGGCCTATTTCCCTCCCCCTCCCCTACACTTCTGTTCTATTTTTAAAAAAATGCATGTGAATCCTGATCTTTCAATATTGTAATTTAATCTATTAGATGCACCAAACCTGGAAAAGTTGTAACCTTATCTCCTGCTTGTAAACGACCCATGAAAACTAGAATCCCAAGGACAAATTTTGAGATCTAGCAGTCCATGACAGATCTCAGCTTCAAGCAAGAGCAATGAAATCAAATGGTTTTCTCCTTATTGCTTTTCCCAGAATTTGCAAAATAACAAACAAAAAATATGCTGCAAATGCACGCATTCAAAGCAAGTATCTAAAGCCAGAACTATGGCCACAAAGACAAAAACAACCCATCTGATTTACCATTTTACTAGTCATTATAATAAAGCTACTCTTTCTCAACTTTTTGAATTTGCACTCTTTATAGAAATGTATAAAACTAGTTCCGAAAATGTGCAAAGACCTTTCTGAGCCCAACATAAAAGTTTCACCATTTTGCTGCAAGAACACAGCAGGACATTTTCTTGTTTACTTAATAAGGAGAAACGAAATTAAGATTTGCATGTCTCCCAACATTTTGGCATAGCTGTTAGTCATTTGTGTTATCACACTGCACCTTGAATGTTGAAGTTTAGCCACAAATGTGGGACAAGGAGCCTAGTACTAATATTAACAGCAGTCAATCTGCTACACAGTCCCTTTTATACTATTATAGCACATTATTATTCCAGTACAGAATTCTCAACCAGAGAGCTCTATGGCCTCACAAAACTACAAACCCCAGGATTTCATAGTATGCAGTCATGACAATAAAAGTGGAATCAAAGTACTATCATTGTAGTATGGAAGAGCCCCAGATCTCAGACAACACTGACATGAGTTATACACAAGCTAAATGGTTTTGAGGTTAAGAACATGCTTATAGAATAGTATGTATAGAAATTCCTCTTTCCTACCTAAACCAAATTATGGAAGAATCAAGAACCTGTTCTTTTACAAATTAAGTGAATAATGGTGCCTATGACAGCATCCCTGCTGGACACACAAACACCCCTTTATTCCCCACCCAGAAAACTCTAAATACCTGCCCTTTTCAAGGTCTACTTTGGTGAATTCAATATATCACATTGTTGTCAGTTAAAGATTAAATGTTTTTTACTGGTTCACACAACTGACCAAAACTTCAAAGTCTTGCCATTAAACACAAGGGTAATTATCACCTAGTGACTACAAAAAAGCAAAACTGATTGAAGAAGAAATGCTTTCCATGGGCTTTGGAGAAAATTAATGAAAAATCCAGATAAAAATGCATACTCAAAACATATCTTACCTAAGGATTATGGACAGCTGAACCACTGACAGAAATGATATTTTGGGCATTTTTCCTGGTTTGGCTTTCCTGGGTAATGGCGTTGGTTTCAGAGGACAGTCCTGTGCTACTTGTGGATTCACACTATTTTCTTTTACTGGAGGAATAGTTGGCAATGTAGTCCCTGCTGATGTAGGCTGAAAGTCTTCTTCTGCCATCAGTGGACGGCTAACAAAGTATGTCACAGGTAGAAAGGAATACATATAACAGTGTTCAACACATTGTAAAAAATATCTGGGAAGATAACTAAATTTGTACAAGTCATATTGTTATAGGGCCCTGGTCTGGACAAACATTCTGCACAAAATTGACATGCAGACAAATGGTGCATGCTCAGGCTTCAGCTCAAACCTTGAGCCTTGATCAGAAAACAATGTATGGGAAAACTGCATATTGACAGCAGCAAAATGGATGCAGCAAAATGAAGGCATTGCTCTCAAATAAGAATTCTGACTTATAAGGGAAATTGTCCTCAGTTCCAAAAATCAATATCATTATGATAACTTCATTATAGTTCCATTAAAACTTCAGTTGAGCTGCTAGAAATATAGTTTAGGCATCATATAACAACAGTGAAGACAAAGAGATCAAGAAAATGCTGACATAAGCAATATAAGAGTTTTAGATGTGAATGATTTTCAATATCACACTCTCAGCAATGCTAGAAGGTTGGTGACGAAAGGACAATTTCATAGTGGAAGGAACAGAATTTCCATTTGGGGAAAGCTATGTTCTCATTTTGTCTCCCTCCCTCGAACTACTCCTGTGCAGACAGTCCATATGTTTGCAGATTTTATAAGTGAAGATTGTGTGGCTAGTAATAGTAATGACCCAGGCTAAAGCTAGCTGTTGTGTTTTCACAATGTGCATTCATATTAACTAGATATATACCTGCACAATGTTCTGAAGAGTTTTTTTTGTTCTGGTGGCTACTCAAGCATAGGGAAGGTCAATATGGCCCTAGTTGCTGCCTTTGAAAGGCATACAGATCCATTGGAACAATCAAAGCATTCCAATTTCAGTAACAGAAGCATTGTGTTTCTAATCTAGTTGACACAGTATGGCTTGTCTTACACTAGCCCACAGCCTGTCCCAGTGAAAGGGACTAAAGCAACACTACTGTAGGCATGTTCCAAGGCAAAGGGTACAAGTGTGGTGTGTGTGGTGGAGGCTCCTTTTTTGGAAGCTTTTAAACAGAGGCTGGATGGCCATCTGTCAGGGGTGATTTGAATGCAATATTCCTGCTTCTTGGCAGGGGGCTGGACTGAATGGTCCATGAGGTCTCTTCCAAATCTTTGATTCTATGTTTCTATTATTCTAAGTCTTCTTAAAAAAAAAAAAACCTGGCACAGACCTAGACCACCCCTGTTTAATTTGAAGCAATACAGCTAACAACAAATTTAGTTTACTGGTTCAATTCAGATGTTAATGGTAAAAATACTACAGTAGGCCCATAATATCTGCAGGGGTTTGGTTCCCAAACTTCTTAATGATACCAACATCTGTGGATGCCCAAGTTCCATTATATATAATGGCATAATAAAATGGTATTCCTCATTTAAAATGTCAAAAATCAAGATTCTGAATTTAAACTTTTTTCAAGTCATGGATGGTTGAATTTGTAGATGCAAAAGAGACAGCTGCATCTTTCCTTGTGTTTTTGTTTTTATTTTTTGGAGTGTGTGCATGTGAATTTGCATTACCGAAAAGAGGTCCAATATTGCAAGTAATTAATGCAGTATGTATCCATTAACTATGCTAATGTGAATTTAATGACAGTAAATTGCTGTGAGAAATAACCTAGAGTCACAGCCTATTGATATGGAAGCCAGTAGGTTTTGTGCCTCTGATGAAGCATAGGCTAAACTATTATTGTCTAGAGAGAAAGGTGCAAAAGAAATCCATAAACGTTTTCCCCACGTTAATATAGGATTGCTAAATCACTTACATGTCTTTCATGGATATATATCCTCCATCGTCGTTAGACTGTTCTTCATCTGAGCTGCTACATTCAGGATTCGTCTCAGTCAACTACGAGCATAAAATTGTAGTTTATTTTTATGCAAAAATATATAAAAGTCAGGATGTATTGAATTTGGTACTCACAAGGAATGGTATTATAGAATGCCTTCATATATGCTGCACACAGAACCTAAAAGATGCACCAAGCCCTATGATCTTTCCACCATGGCACCACTTTTGGCCATTTTGAATGCTTTGATGGTAAAATGGTGGTTGGTCCCCTGAGGTGGCACTTCCCCTCTTTGTGGAACAACCCCTGACTTCTCAATATGTCATATCAAAATCCATCATTCTGGCCCCAAATCTGCCTTTGACTTATATGTGGGATTGACTTACATGTGCGTATACATGGTTCTACACACTGAAAATGCATGTAAAAATTGAATCACAATACTAGAGAACACAGGAAGTTACCTGGGCTTGAATACTTCTTGGAGAAGCATAATCGTTCTCTTTTTCATAATCTTCACCTGACTGTTCATCAAGTGGACCATGTGTTAGACGTCGCTAAAATATAGAAAAAATGCCGTTACTCTTTGCTCTACAGATGCAGAGAGCTGTTAAAGTGGACAATCCACAACATCCTTCTATTTTTTGAAACAAAACCATGAACATGTAACAAAGTTACTGACTTTCCCAACAAAAGAAAAAAGAAATAAAAGACATGGAACCCTTGAGATGGATATCACTGCTTTGAGAAGCACATTATGCTTTGAGAAATATTTATTTATTTATTTATTATTTACGACATTTATATGCTGCCCTTTCTCACCCCGAAGGGGACTCAGAGCGGCTTACAAGATATATATACATATAATATATTATATTATTAGCATAGTACAATATCAGTATTATATATTACTATATTGTACTATACCATTATATTGTAATATTATTAGCAATATTACATGCAATATAAATATATAATATTGTAATATGTTGCACCATAATCAGGATGTGGAAGGAGCTGTGGTGAATGTACATTACATCATCATGATAAAAAAAGTGTGGCTACAGTTAGCAAAAATGAAAGTGTGATATAATCATTTAAGCTAAAGATTGCATATAATTAGGGGCATATAATTCTATGTGCATTCATACCATGGATGTATGACAATGAGAACACTAAATTGGGCTGCTTGATATTTGACCCCTTTCTTAACATCAACTCATTGATGTTAATTCACTTTCCAAACTTTTTGTGCCTAAGAAGAGAAGGATCGCTCACGAAGAGGAATTACTAACATGAGTGATTTATAAAATATGCATCTGTCCTTATTAGCAGCTCATCAATCCTGAAAAATTAACCGAGTCAATGTTCATGCAACTGTTCCAGTGCCATGATGCAGGAAAGTGCACCAGTGGACGTTTCAAATAATTCACACAACATTCATTAAGCTCCAGTTTCCGCACTCACAAGACGTTGCATAATTTTTCTTGGTGACTCATAAATATGGTCTTCTTCAGAAGGGACTTGATGAATAGGTTCTGATGTTGGCCTTTTCTTGAAAGCAGTTGTTGGTAACTCCTAACAGCCCAACAAATTAAAAGAGAGCACTGATTAATAGAAAATGCATAAACATTAATTAAGTGAAGTTTAAATTAAAATTAAAATTAATCAACATCAATTAATATTAAAATTAAAAGAGAACCCATTGAAAGAATCACTGAATGGCCCTATTTCAATATAATCAGTTAAAACTCATGGCTAGAAATTGATCATTGGATGAAAGATGCTATGTAAACAAATCCAATACTTGGAATGTATTTTAGTATTCAGAGTTTTACAAACAGAGGGGAGGGAAATCCGTATTTTCAAAAACCTGGGTCAAAGATTGGAGGGCAATATCTCAATAGCACATTTAGGTTGCATTCAGTTGCTTATAATTATACAGTGACCTAACCTTGGCATCCTTAAAAAAACAGATTCGATCTGATTTTGAAAGCTAAACAGGGTCAGCTTTGGTGAGTACTTGGATGAAAGATCACCAATGAATATCAGATGATGTAAGCTACATTTCAGAGGAAAGAACTGGCAAAACAACTTCTGAGTCTTTCTTACCTAAGAAAATGATATGAAATTTATGGGCCACCATAAGTCAATAAGTGATTTGAAGGTGAGCATGCGCACACGCACGCACACACAAAACTGTAGCATCACAAATGGCAGCACATCTTGGGAAAGTTAATCTTGTGAGAAATTTTGGGGGCAGATTAACAGATTATTGCTGCTGTAGTCCAAACATTTTTAAGATCTACTTTTTCAGTATGTGTATACAGTCTTGTTGTCTGGATCAAGTTCACAGGAAACTGAAGGAGTAGTATGAAATTGAAAGCATTATTTATAGTAGAATTACTCAAGTTACAGACCTGGCTATGGCCCCTTCTACACAGCTGTATAGCATCCAGATTATCTGCTTTGATAGTAGTGTAGACTCAGATAATCCAGTTCAAAGCAGATAATGTGGATTATCTGCCTTGGTATTCTGGATTATATGACAGTGTAGAAGGGCCCCATATTTCCCTCTATGCCTCAGCTCTTTTTCAACTCTTCACTGTACACACATCCTTTGGAAAAGAACAGGAAGGTTGCATTCAACAATGGCAGTTAAACTGCTGTCAAACTACCTTAATTCTACAGTGTAAATGCACCCCAAGTAAATGTGAGCAATAAGAAGTCAATATGATCGTACTTACTTCATATTGATTGCCGTGGCACTGCTCATCCTTTTCATCAAGACAAGCAGGTGAAGATTTTGACCGAGTCCTGAGTTCCAGTGTCTGATTTAAGAAAAGAAACAACAAAGCACTCTCAGTATGATAATAATAAAAATAATGCAACCCTAAAGATTCAGATCTGCACTGCTCTAAATATAAATAATGAACAAACACATAAAATGCTTATTGTCAATTGCCAAACTATCAATGATTATAAATTAGTGCAATTGCTCCAGGTCCCTTAAAGTCTAGAGGACCCGTATATGTGTGTTATATGACTTCAAGTAATTTCTAACTCACGACAATCCTGTTGTGAGGCCTTTTTTGGGCAAGATTTGTTCAGAGAGGATAAGCCACTGTTTCCTCTGAAGGTGAGAGAATGTGACTTGGCCAAGTGGGGCATTAAACCGTGGTCTCTAAGGGTCCATCTACATGGGCCACAAAATCTGAGGCTAGTCTGAAGCATTGCTACTTAAGATCAGCTGTGGATTCTTCCAAGATGTTTACATCTCTCCACTTCTGAACTGCAGCAGTGATGATAGTGGAATCCTGACTGAACCGACCCACTTTGGCTCTGCTGGATGATCATCCTTACATTTCTCATTGTTTGTCACTGCAGCAGCAGCCACAGAGGTCCAGAGAACTGGTCATCAATGGTCAATGTCAGCAAAGGTCTTGGAGAAGGCAGGGAAAAAGGAGGGTAGCCAGAAGCCCTCCAGAGCACTGTGGCTGCTGCTACAGTGACAATGACAAAAGAGCTATTCCATTTTCCCCATGCTGCAAAGCATGGGGAAAACTAGATGGCAGCACTGGCCTGTGTGGATGGCTGACCCAGTTCCAAATTAGTTTCCAATCATTCCCTGAATTTTCTTAACTCAGAGCAAACCCGGGTTAACAGGTTGTACCCCATGTTCTGGTTAGCAGGTTTGACCCTGCGTTAGGGGCTGAATGTCCCTTGATGTCACCTGGACACCAAGTAGTGACTACTGGCCCACCAAGTAGTGACTACTGGGATATGTTGCCCATATAGACAGGCCCTCAGTATCATAGTCACCCACAAATTACAACATCAACCTGACCCTCAGCAATGAGCCGAGTCATGAAGTAAAACATTGTGAATGTTGTATATTCTTCTTCCCCAGTCACTTCCTCTATCTCTATCTATCTATCTATCTATCTATCTATCTATCTATCTATCTATCTATCTATCTATCATCTATCTATAGGAATTCTAAAATAGTAGGGGCCAATGGTATGGGACTTACTGTCCGGACTGGAGGTGATCTTTTGAAGGAAATAGGCTTGCAGACTTCTTCACAATGATAATTTTCTGACAAAAGAAAACTACATGTAATTCCATTAAAAATAGTGAGAAAGAGCTCTCTGCACATATGATTAATCCCTGGATCTTCCCACTGTTGAATTATCTGTATAAATATTAATAAGAAACATGAAAATGCTACAGGGATATTCAGTAATGTACCTATGGAGGATTTTCTTGGATAGTCCATTTTGCTTGTTACTTCAACCTGACAAAGAAAACAAAGAGTAAGAGGTCAAAATTCATGCTTGATATTTGTTTACTAATGCATGACATGAGACTTACTCTTAACTTTCAATCTATATATATAAAAATGCTCTGTGCATAATGAATACCTTAAAAACAAAAGAACCAATGAATGAAATCACACCAAATTTGGCAACAAAACTTCTCACAACACAAGAAGTGATCATCACTCAAAAAATTATGATTAGAGGAGGACCAATGTGGTCCCAATCTTCAAGAAGGGAAAAAAGGATGACCCAAACAATTACCGTCCGGTCAGCCTCACGTCGATACCAGGCAAGATTCTGGAAAAGATTGTTAAGGTCTGCAAACACTTAGAAACAAATGCGGTCATCGCTAATAGTCAACATGGATTTATCAAAAACAAGTCATGCCAGACTAATCTGATCTCTTTTTTCGATAGAGTTACAAGCTGGATAGATGCAGGGAATGCCGTGGATGTAGCGTACCTGGATTTCAGTAAGGCCTTCGACAAGGTCCCCCATGACCTTCTGGCAAACAAACTAGTCCAATGTGGGCTAGGCAAAACGATGGTGAGGTGGATCTGTAATTGGTTAAATGGATGAACTCAGAGGGTGCTCACCGATGCTTCCTCTTCATCTTGGAAAGAAGTGACAAGTGGAGTGCCGCAGGGTTTTGTCCTGGGCCCGGTCCTGTTCAACATCTTTATTAATGACGGAGATAAAGGGCTAGGAGGCATGATCATCAAGTTTGCAGACGACACCAAATTGGGAGGGATAGCCAATACTCCAGAGGACAGGAGCAGGATTCAAAACGATCTTGACAGATTAGAGAGATGGGCCAAAACTAATAAACTGAAGTTCAACAGTGACAAATGCAAGATACTCCACTTTGGCAGGAAAAAACGAAATGCAAAGACACAAAATGGGGGACGCCTGGCTCGAGAGCAGTACGTGTGAAAAAGATCTTGGAATCCTCGTGGACAACAAGTTAAACATGAGCCAATGTGATGTGGTGGCAAAAAAAGCCAATGGGATTTTGGCCTGCATCAATAGGAGCATAGTTATGTCTAGAAGTAATGCTACCCCTCTATTCTGCTTTGGTTAGACCACATCTGGAATATTGTGTCCAATTCTGGGCACCACAATTCAAGAGATTGACAAGCTGGAATGTGTCCAGAGGAGGGCGACTAAAATGATCAAGGGTCTGGAGAACAAGCCCTATGAGGAGCGGCTTAAGGAGCTGGGCATGTTTAGCCTGAAGAAGAGAAGGCTGAGAGGAGACATGATAGCCGTGTATAAATATGTGAGAGGAAGCCACAGGGAGGAGGGAGCAAACTTGTTTTCTGCTTCCTTGGAGACTAGGATGCGGAACAATGGCTTCAAACTACAAGAGGAGATTCCATCTGAACATGAGGAAGAACTTCCTGACTGTGAGAGCTGTTCAGCAGTGGAACTCTCTGCCCCGGAGTGTGGTGGAGGCTCCTTCTTTGGAAGTTTTAAACAGAGGCTGGATGGCCATCTGTCAGGGGTGATTTGAATGCAATATTCCTGCTTCTTGGCAGGGGGTTGGACTGGATGGCCCATGAGGTCTCTTCCAACTCTTTGATTCTATGATTCTATGATTTTGTCATTTGGGAGTTGTAGTTGCTGGGATTCACAGTTCACCTACAATCAAAGAGCATTCTGAACCCCACAAACGACAGAATCGGGACCCTTAAAGAAGGACAATGATATCTTGCATGTTCCAAGGTGGGCAAACCAGACAATTTCCACATTAACACTGACAAAGAAACAGATACTCTTTACCCACAAGCATAAAGAAATTACATATATTAGAAACCAACACTTTCTCATTACTTTATTTTCCAGATCAACAGACTGGGCCACAGCAATGTGTGGCAGAGGATAGCTAGTAATAGTATAACAATTTTAATATGGGTAGTACTGACATGTTTTTAAAATCAGTAACAGTACCTAAACATATATTTAAAGGTAACAGAGCAAATATTTCTTAAGAGACTCAGTGTGTGCTGCCTGCAAAGTGGATCATAGTCTTGCAGAAGGCATAATCTCAGGGAAATCTTACATTTTGCTGGTAAAGCTTGTACTTTTTTTCTAGGGCTGTGCAATCGATGAAAAAAAATGTTTCAAACTCATTACAAAATTAGGGGGCATCAGTGTTTTTTTTTCTAAAGTGTTTCTAAAGTATCGTTAGGGGAATATTCAAATTTTTTATAAACAACATTTAAAAAATACTACAAAAGCTATCTCAATGAATTGTCTATACAGTGACACAAGTGAACATGGGATCATTCCCCCCAACTTTCAGAAATATTCATACATGTACTGATTTTAGGAAATTTTTAAAAGTTTTGACAAAAGGGTTTTGTTTTGTTTTTTGTTTTTGTTTTTTTTAAAAGCCACAGCAGCTATCTCATTGAATATCTCTCATATTAACCAATAGAATTTCCATTTAGGGATTTCTTCCCAGCCCAGTACAGAGATTTGTATACTAGAAATATCAGTCAGTCCTCCTCTTTGCAGATTCAACAACTTATTTGAACTCTGGCTGGGTGCTGCTACAGAGGGACAAATCTCTCCCCGACCCTGATTGGGGCTTTTTGATGCTGAGCAGAATTCTGGAAAATGTAGTTTAGGACAGGGCCATTTGAATGCACTGGCATAGAGCACCTCCTCTTTCCAAACTACATTTCCCAGAGTTCTGTGCTTCCTCAGTCTTTTCCCCATGCCCACATGTTGGAAATTACAGCATAAGTTTGAATTTAACGAATTTGATCCAACTTATGAGGACTAACAAAAATTTTGCACAGCCCTATTTTCCCCTATTGCCTTTATTTTCAGTTTCCTCATGAACAAGTAAGGATCAACCAGCCCTCAAGATCACCTCAAAACCACCTCAAGCAATATCTGAAAGAAGATACAGACATATGATCCCAACATCATCATCTTTATGACTTTTAATGTTTTTGTTTGATGAAGAACCATTTGAAAGCTAGTGTAATGTATTTGTGCCCTTTTGTTGACTAAGGATTATTGGACCACAATGTGCGGACTGAGTTGGATGCGTTTTATATGTATTTTAACTTATTTGTATTTTTAATCTAATGTATTATGTATGTTGCTTTAAAATGTTATTTATTGTGTACCATTGAATTTTTGCTGTTAGCCATTCAGAGTCCCTCCACAGAGGTAGAGAAGAACAGGATATAAAAGTTCTAAATAAATAAATAAATAAATAAATAAATATTAAAGTTATCAATGCAATGTGCATTTTGAATGTTGTTGTATTTGCTGCATAGTCAACACAGCTACCCATACATTCGTGGTGTAGGTGTGTCTTGATTTCTCTGTCCTCATCCACATTTTTTGTGTTATTTTACCAATTAAATAAAATGCATGGGATCAGTGTAATGAAAGTAGCAGAGTTGAAAATGTGTTTACATATTTATTAGATTTTTGTTGCTTCTATTGTACTAGGAAGGACAAAATGCCATCCTCTTCTCTCTTTCAGCTGACCGAGTGCAAACTAGTTTTTTTTTTAAAAAAAGTTCTCAATTTGCAGCCAAGGCTTAAGGAGGAAATGGGAAGAAGAAATAAAAACCGAGTCATTACAAAAATAACCAAAAGAATGTGTCAGAAGAGGATTAACTAGGACTATCTCTGCTAAACTAGGACAGCTGGAGACATGTTTGCAGGAAACCCATGTGTAGGATTGTCCAAACCACTGGACTGCCCAACATTTTCCTCCCAGCACTTTTGTTCAAGTATATTGGTGGATATTTCTGTTCTAATGGCACTCAACAGAGTCTAAAATAATATTTTAATACAATTAGTCATCTGTATCCATAGATTTTGCATCCATGAATTCCACCATCGATGGTTTGATATTAAGAAAAATACAGCAAAACAGTCTTGATTTTGTCATTTTATATAAGGGATACAATTTTACTACATTGTTATATATGATATAATGTGACTTGAGCATGCATGGATTTTAGTATTCATGGGATATGTGTGTGTGACTTGGAACAAAGACCTGTGTATACTGATGACCTATTGGGATGCAAGTATACATTAATCAAAATTATCATTTAAACAACATGGTATTTATTTACCTCTTTTTCTCTGCAAGTTTCATATAGGACGTTGGCCCACTCCTCAACTTCTTTGCTAATGTTTCAAATATGTGGTTTCAGAAAACAGGTACAGAAAAAACACAAGTAAGTGGTTATTTTTCTATGTAAAACTTGTCAAATTTTATAACACATTCATGCAAAATAGTACTTTCAAAATAATCGGAAGTTTCTGAAGAAATCCTTCTCCCTTACATCCTAAGTATAATTTGAAAAAGATTGTAACTTTTAACTTCTGGAAAAATCAATCTTAAAAGTAACTTGTCCAGGGTCTGACCCTAAATGATATTGCTTGCTCTCTGTTCACTCAACATCTAAAGCAGTGGAAGAACCTTCAGCCCTCTAGATGTTAATACGTTTTGTGACTTTTATCACACAGGTGGCTGCAAGCATCATAGGAGCCCCACACCGCTCATCACACAACACATGCTCACTTCCGGCAGGGCTCCATCAACCAGCTGTGTTGCATGCATCCTATAACGTTTCGCCCTGAACATGGGAGGCTTCCCGTGTTCCGTTGGGAACCACAGGGCCAGCGCAAGGGGAAGCTGCATGGTGATGCTTCCCCACGTATGATGGGGAAATGTTACTGTGGTTGAGGTGGGGTGTGAGGTGCCAGGATTGCCCTTGTGCCCTGCGGATTCACCACAGAAGCTGGTGAATCGCCCTGCTGCCCCTCATGTGATGAGGTCCTTACTCTCATCATACCTCATCAGTCTGGTTAGAGTGGATGAGAACTGTTGTTCAATGGCATCTTCCTCTGGTCTAAATATTATAGTTCCTATTTTTTCAAAAACAAAAGTGAGTGTGTTTACATTATCCAGTTACTGAAACAAGATATTGAAAAACTAGAACAGGTCTGAAGGAGTACAATCAAAATAATTAAATGTCTGGAGGCCATGTCCTATGAAGAGAGTAGCTTTAAGAGTTGGGTATGTATAACTTCCAAAGAGAAGGTTAAGAGGGAACATGATAGTCGAGTTGAAATATTTGATTCCATTGCATTGAACCATGGCAGCTAATGCGGTGTCAAATTACATTTACCGTATATTCCGGCATATAAGACGACTGGGCGTATAAGACGACCCCCCAACTTTTCCAGTTAAAATATAGAGTTTGGTATATACTCGCCGTATAAGACCATCCCTCTTCCATTGCACACCAAATAAAAATAAAAAATAAAAACATCAGATTTGATTTCAAATCCAAGACTATCAAAGCAGTATCCAGCTCTTCGGCTTAGAAATGGAGATGAGCGCCAACCCCCAGAGCCGGACACGACTGGACTTAACGTCAGGAGAAAACCTTTACCTCACCTGTAAACTCCTGTATGTTTATTATTTATTTAACAGTTGTGGGTCCATGGAGCGTAATAAAGTTCTATAAATTTTTACCTTACCTTACCTAGAGTGAGACCAGGGCCGGGTCCAATGTCCTTTCCCCAACAACAACAACAATAATGGAAATCTAGAATTGGAAGGGACTCCAATGGCCATCCAGTCTAACCCTAATTCTGCCAGACAGGAACACATGTCCAAGCCCTCCCGACAGATGGCCATCCTGTTCTACTTAATAATAGCAATAGCAACAATAATAGCAATAACAACAACAATAATAATAGAAGGGACCTCAATGACCATTCAGTCCAACCCCATTCCTGCCAGGCAGGAAGACACAATGCAAGCCTTCCTAACAGGTGGCCATACAACTCTGCTTAACAATAACAACAACAGAACGCTAGAGTTGGGACTCCAATGGCCATCCATTCCAACCCACTCACTCCTGCCAGGCAGGAAGACACAATGCAAGCCTCCCCAACAGGTGGCCATCCAGTTCTAGTTGCCATATATACTCGAGTATAAGCTGACCCGAATATAAGCTGAGGCACTTAATTTTACGACCAAAAACTGGGAAAATTTATTGACTTGAGTATAAGCCAGGGGAGGGAAATGCAGCAGCTAGTGGTAAGCTGAGGGGACAGAAGTTGTCATAAAGCCATCTTGTGCAGCTTCCAAAACCCAACACGTGAGAACATTTTGCACTGCAGCCAGATATTTCCAAGGTCATGCCCAAAGGGTTTGATGAATATACCCTTTTTGAGATAGATCTAAATCAGGCATGGGCAAACTGTAGCCCTCCAGGTGTTTTGGACTTCAACTCCCACAATTCCTAACAGTATTTGAGAACACAGAAATGCTGGACCACTCTCACAACCACCATGTCAGACTACACAGAGAAGCCATTGCAATCCACAAGAAGCATGTGGACAATTTCAACAGAAAGGAGGAAACCATGAAAATGAACAAAATCTGGCTACCAGTATTTAAAAAAAACTCCTCTAAAATCAGGACAGTAAATAAAAAACAACACTCAAAAGCAGGGGAAATCCAGACAATAAAAAATCAGGACCAACTAACACCTCCCAACAAAGGATTCCCCCAGGCAGGAAGCAGCCAGGCTTTGAAGCTGCAAGGCCATTCATTGCTAATCAAGGTAGCCAATGGCAACATTCCCACTTGCCTCAAGCAGACAAGAGTTCTTTCTCCCACCCTGGACTTTCCACAGATATATAAACCCCACTTGCCATGTTTCCAACAGACCTCACAACCTCCAAGGATGCCTGGCATAGATCTGGGCAAAACATCAGGAGAGGACACTTCTGGAACATGGCTATACAGTCTGGAAAACTCACAGCAACCCAGCCACTAGCTGTTAGGAATTGTGAGAGTTGAAATTCAAAACAATCTGATAGAAAACTGGGACTCGTAGTTTGGTATGGTACTGGCTCTCTTAAACAGGGAAGGCTAAGGACCTTGTAAAACTACAACTCCTGTGATTCCATGGCACTGAATCTGTGGCAGTTATTGGGGGGGGGGATTCCCCTTTAAGAATAGATGGCCCTTGCACTGGGACTTCCCCTTTAAGGCTGCCTCGCTCTTGGCTGCAGAAACAAAACCAAACGGGGGAAAGAGACCTTTTTCTTCCTCCTTCTGCAGGCTATTTAAAACTTTTAAAACTTAGGAGCGGCTGTTCTTTCAGAGGGAGCTGAGCACAGAGACAGGAAAGAAACCCCAAAGAGGGGAGGGAGAAAGAAGAAGTTTCTGCAGCAGGACTTTCTGGAGGTGCCTTTGTTTTGACTCTCCTTGAGTAGCACTGTTTGAGGGAGGAGAGGAGAGGGAGAAAGAGGCTGGGAATGGGAGGCTTGGGGGAAGCCTCTTCTGCCCCTTTTTCCTGCAGGAGGAGGAGGGGGAGGAGGAGGAGCGGCAGGTCTGCCGGGAGGGCTGGCCAGCTGAGCTGCCAGACCAGCAGGCTCCCTTTGGCCTCTCATGGCTGCTCGCGTCCCTCTCTCTCGGCATCCTCAAGTGGTGGAACTTATAGCCGGCACACAAGACGACCCCCCCACTTTTAAGATGACTTTCTTGGCTTAGAAAGTCGTCTAATATGCCGATTTTTACGGTATTCTACAGTGTACCCTTGAGAATCCAGAGCTTTGTTGGCATGAAAGGTCTGGACTCTTGCATTTTTTTTCTGGCTGCAGGGCACATAGTACCCTTAAAAATGACATAAATCACTTTCTTGGAATAGAAAAGAAGGGAAGAATCTTCCAAATAATCTGATTTGTAATCTTAAAAATGTCCTACTATTTGTTTACAAGTCCTTATTTAAAATTACAAAACTGATTCTAAAACACATCCCAATAACTATGAAGGAAACTGGCACTCAATAAAGGGGGAAGAACCTACCATTGAGCATTTGTTTGATTTGAGATCAGGCTGTTGTTTTGTTTTGTTTTTAAATGCCATTCTTTGTTGAATTAACAGAAGGTATTCAGTGTCCGGGAAGAAGAGGCAAGATTTCGGTAAAGACGCTTAACAAGATTTGTACCATCTTTTTTTCAAGTAGCAGTTGATCTTCTTACTCATGATTATAAAAGCTAAGGGAAGGGCTGAGATACAGCTTAGAAAGGGGTGTTTTTTTTGAGACTATAACTTTGCAATCTCCAAAAGTAACTTTTTTGAGAATTTGTTGAAGACACAAGTGTTTGATATTGCTTTCAGGTGCCATAGCTCTTGTAATTTGTAGTTTGATAAAGTGTTTGGTACACTTTAGTACACTCGCTTGGACTAGGGAAATCTAACTCAGATCTCATCCCACAAAAGGGAGGGGGTGAAGCGGGGGAAGATTATTATCCCCCACTAACCCACGCCCACCCCAGTGCTTCCCCCTGTCCCTTGTGGTTAGAATCAGCACCACTGCCATGTCCTCCATGGTGTCACCTTTGGTTTTACTGGCCAGAAGCAGTTCTCCAACAGAAGTTTAAAGCCACAACAGGGCTCTCCCCTGCATGATTACCGGAAGCAATGTTTCTAGAAAGGCTCTGCCAGGGAGCTGCTTCTCCTTGTGAATCAGTAGTGTGTTATCTTGATGCACGGACATGGGATTGCCAGAATCCAGGCCAACCCAGCTGTCCATATATCAAAATCACTGGGGTCATGCCTAAGTTTCCTGAATGTTTTGGAGTAACACTACATTTTTTCCGATGAATTAAAGGCTAAAAGCAGCACCTCTGTTGCAGAACTGGCTACACATTGTATGGACTGCTTGCAGCAAGTCTGAAGTGAAGCAAAGAAACCTTCTTTAGGCCATATAAATTGCATTGCAAACTAAAACACCTCTTGCTTTTATTTCACCCACAGGTATACTTCCTAATCTGTATTCTGAGTAAGATGAGATACAGTCATAAGAACAAGAAAATAGTTCAATGTATTGTCGAAGGCTTTCATGGCTGGAATCACTAGGTTCTTGTGGGTTTTTTCGGGCTATAGAGCCATGTTCTAGAGGCATTTCTCCTGACGTTTCGCCTGCATCTATGGCAAGCATCCTCAGAGGTGTGAGGTCTGTTGGAAGTAGGAAAAATGGGTTTATATATCTGTGGAATGGCTGGGGTGGGGCAAGGAGCTCTTCCCTGCTGCAGTTAGGTGTGAATGCTTTAGCTGATCACCTTCATTAGCATTTGAAGGCCTGCCTGAGCCTGGGAAAATCTCTTGCTGGGAGGTGTTAATCTGTGCCTGGTTGTTTCCTCTCTGTTGTTTCTGTTGTAATTTTAGAGTTTTTTAATACTGGTAGCCAGATTTTGTTCATTTTCATGGTCTCTTCCTTTCTGTTGAAATTGTCCACATGCTTGTGGATTTCATGGCTTCTCTGTGTAGTCTGACATGGTGGTTGTTGGTGTGGTCCAGCATTTCTGTGTTCTCAAATAATATGCTGTGTCCAGGCTGGTTCATCAGGTGCTCTGCTATGGCTGACTTCTCTGGTTGAAGTAGTCTGCAGTGCCTTTCATGTTCCTTGATGCGTGTCTGGGCGCTGCGTTTGGTGGTCCCTATGTAGACTTGTCCACAGCTGCATGGTATACGGTAGACTCCTGCAGAGGTGAGAGGATCCCTCTTGTCCTTTGCTGAACGTAGCATTTGTTGGATTTTCTTGGTGGGTTTGTAGATTGTTTGTATGTTGTGTTTCCTCATCAGTTTCCCTATGCGGTCAGTGGTTCCCTTGATGTATGGCAGGAACACTTTTCCTCTGGGTGGATCTTCATCTTGACTCTCGTGGCTTGTTCTTGGTCTTGCAGCTCTTCTGATGTCTGAGGTGGAATATCCATTGGCCTGGAGAGCCCAGTTGAGGTGGTTCAGTTCATCTTGGAGGAGGTGGGGTTCGCAGATTCTTTTTGCGCGGTCTGCCAAGGCTTTAATGGTGCTTCTTTTTTGACTTGGGTGATGGTTGGAGTTTGGTTGGATGCTGTTAAGATGGTCCAGGAACCTGTTGAGTTCTTCTTCTCCATGGCTCCAAATGGTGAAGGTGTCATCCACATATCTGAACCATATCGTGGGCTTTTTGGTTGCTGTCTCCAGGGCTTGTTCTTCAAAGTGTTCCATGTAGAAGTTAGCTATGACCGGGCTGAGAGGGCTCCCCATAGCTACTCCATCTTTCTGTTCGTAGAATTCATTGTCCCACTGAAAGTAACTGGTGGTAAGGCAATGGTGAAACACATTTGGAGCCATGGAGAAGAAGAACTCAACAGGTTCCTGGACCATCTTAACAGCATCCACCCAAACATCCAGTTCACCATGGAAAAAGAAAATGAAGGAAGACTGCCTTTTCTAGATGTTCTAGTCATCCGCAAACCAGATCAACAATTGGGTCACACCGTCTACAGAAAACCCACACACACAGATAGATATCTACATAAAAACTCCAACCATCACCCAAGTCAAAAAAGAAGCACCATTAAAGCCTTGGCAGACCGTGCAAAAAGAATCTGCGAACCCCACCTCCTCCAAGATGAACTGAACCACCTCAACTGGGCTCTCCAGGCCAATGGATATTCCACCTCAGACATCAGAAGAGCTGCAAGACCAAGAACAAGCCACGAGAGTAAAGATGAAGATCCACCCAGAGGAAAAGTGTTCCTGCCATACATCAAGGGAATCACTGATCGCATAGGGAAGCTGATGAGGAAACACAACATACAAACAATCTACAAACCCACCAAGAAAATCCAACAAATGCTACGTTCAGCAAAGGACAAGAGGGATCCTCTCACCTCTGCAGGAGTCTACCGTATACCATGCAGCTGTGGACAAGTCTACATAGGGACCACCAACCGCAGCGCCCAGACACGCATCAAGGAACATGAAAGGCACTGCAGACTACTTCAACCAGAGAAGTCAGCCATAGCAGAGCACCTGATGAACCAGCCTGGACACAGCATATTATTTGAGAACACAGAAATGCTGGACCACACCAACAAACACCATGTCAGACTACACAGAGAAGCCATTGAAATCCACAAGCATGTGGACAATTTCAACAGAAAGGAAGAGACCATGAAAATGAACAAAATCTGGCTACCAGTATTAAAAAACTCTAAAATTATAACAGCTAAACAACAGAGAGGAAAAAAACAGGCACAGATTAACACCTCCCAGCAACAGATTTTCCCAGGCTCAGGCAGGCCTTCAAATGCTAATGAAGGTGATCAGCTAAACATTCACACCTAACTGCAGCAGGAAAGAGCTCCTTGCCCCACCCCAGCCATTCCACAGATATATAAACCCATTTTTCCTACTTCCAACAGACCTCACACTCCTGAGGATGCTTGCCATAGATGCAGGCGAAACGTCAGGAGAAATGCCTCTAGAACATGGCTCTATAGCCCGAAAAAACCCACAAGAACCTAAGAAAATAGTTCTCTCTCCTCACCCAGATGCTTTGCAGTGGCAGTTTAAATATAAGCAGATATGTTTCTCTTCCCAAACTATTTCTTTTTTCTGCTCTGTGCCACAAACTATAAAAGGTGAATCTTTAGTTTGAGTAACATGAATGAAGATTTTAACAGTTATTTCTTGATTTGTGGATAATATGTTCTAGCCATGTTTTTGAGGTCCTAGTATTCCTGCAAATCTGAAAATTCTACCTATCTCTCTTAGAAGAATGGTGTCCTTACCTGTCTGTTCCAATAAGGTAGAAATCTCTGTTCCCTGTTCTGATGGTCATCACTTCTGTGGGCACGCATTTAAACATCTTCCTCACCATTGCCATTTTCTCACTATCAGCTATGCCAATTTCAATTTTTGAAGTTCTGTTACAGAAATATATATACATATATATATACTTGTAAAAGTTTATAAAATGTATTGTTGACCATCCATGTACATTTTCTTTAACCACCTCGTCTGATGGTGCATCCCTCCATGTGATCACTCTGCTGGTGAGGTGAGGGGCCCATGCCACGCCCTTAAGAGGAGCACCACCACCAGCCATTATCGGCCATAAGATAAAGTTCTATTTTTAAAAGAAATATTTACCAATGAGAATTTTAGTAAAATATAACATCCTATCTAGTCTAGCATTCTGTTCAAATGGGGGCCAACCAGTTGCTTATGAGAAACTGTAAGCAAGACATTAATTCACTCAAAGTGTCAACCCATGTCCCCCAGAACTAGTATACTGTGGCACATTGCTTCTGATACTGGAGTTAATATATAGTCATTAAGATCAGCAGTCAATGATTAACCTTTATTTTTTTTAAAAGCCTAATTCACCTTTGAAGTCGCCCATATCTTTGTCCATCTTTTGTGGTAGCAAAGTCTACAGTTTGTATGTCTGTTGTGTAAAGAAAGATTTGGTTTTATTTTCCCTAAACCTCCTACTATTTGGTTTCACTGGACAATTAATTGCAGCTCCATACCATCAATGTTAATAAGATTTAGGTGTGATTTTATCTTCACTGGAGGTTTAGGCAATTTTTAGTTTCTGTGACAGACTGTATGGACCATATCACATTAAGGTTGAGATTCTCCCTGTATTGTGATGAATCTGTGGAGTCCCAGCTGGGGGGAAGTGGAGAACTGTCGCCCAACGCCTCTCATTGCCCGATTTACCACTGGCTCTATCCCATGGGGGAAAGCATCCTCCGCCCAGCTTCTCCCTGTTGATCCAATGTAACACAGGAAGCCCCCCCCCCATGTTGCTGCAGCAGCGGCATACATCACTTGCTTTCCCCTTTTGCCATGAAGTCCTACCGGAAGTAGATGTAGGTTGTGTAATGGGATCCATGGCAAAAAGGGAGAGCAAGTGGCATATGATAGGCAAATTAACCTGTATGATGAGGCCGAATATCTTTTTCCCAAGCACAAATGATTATATTAGCAAACTAATTTTGGAAGGCTTTTAAAAAATGTGCTTCTTTGCTTTGAAATGTAAATGTAACCCTTATGGACCACTGACTTTTAATAGGTTTAGTGACATGTACTTTATGGAGTAATATTGGTGGCGTTTGGTTACTTGATCGTTTGAGCAGTTGCCCAGATAAGAGTGGGTTAGGGCTAGCAAATCCTGGAGCTGTGCCTTCTGGGCTTCTAGTGTATGAAATAATTTGTTTGGACTTCTCCAAAGACTAAATACTAATCTAACTGGGAAGGACTTTATGCAGACATCACTGTCTAGTGGGTGATGTGGGAAGAACTCTGCAAGACCATAAAGTTCTAAATCTAAAATGACTTCAATGAACATTTACATTCAACATACAGCATACAGCCTAGTATACAATGAAGGCACAACTTCATTTTTGGTATAAGAGGGAATTCATATTTCAAATAATCAGTGCCTTGGTTAAAAGAAACCTTAGTAGATATCATTTGATACATACTCATTAATTTCGATGTTGCCCTTTAGCTGTTGATCTTTGAAATACCTCAGGATATAACCATTTTTGATTGACTTGGAAAGGGTAAAGTATCGTTTTTTCCAGGATGTCTGTAGACAGAAAGAAAGATTGTGTTTTCAAACCCAATTGAACAATAAATAAATAAATAGATATAATAATCTATTATTCTTATGGCATTGCTGAAGTGTGATTATCATTTTGCTAATTATACCTGATTAGTGAAAAGATGGATTGGGGGAGATTTTCTGAAGAAGCCATGCTTGCAGACATTTTCATAATCATCACTTCCTGACAAAAGAAAAAAAAATAGATATAATTCACCCTGAATCTCCTAAGGATGGCACCTCTCACTGCTGGATTCTCTCCATATTGATTAACACCAAACATGAAAATGTGAAGGAAACAGTTATGGGTTTTATATAATTCAGTCTTGTACCTATGGAAGATGGTCTTGAAGAATCCATTTTGTTTATTACTTCAACCTGACAAAGAAAACATAAAGCTTGGGTCAAAAACACTGGCTTGATATCTGTTTTTCAACATTGTCATAATCTAGGACTTTGTATAAACCACACCTTGTCTTTTCCGTGAATGATCACAAAACAAGTTTCTGTAATCTGAGATAAACAGAAGCGGTAACCAAGCAACATTTCATTGGATAATGACCAATATTGGATAATGACCAACCTTTTCACAAGACTGGCCAAATTAGATCATGAATGTCGAATTACTTGATGTGCCAAAACAAAGTTGTTTTAAAAACCCATTTATAGTTTACATGAACTAAATTAAAAACATCAAAATGTTATTTCCACAACACTGTCTTCCTATAGGAATAATTGCTATCATTAATGTGCTGGATAAGAAAAGAAAAAGGGACAGCATTCCAGGAACTTAGCATACTAAAAAAAACAACAACCAATCAACCATGAAAATTAGATGAGTAATATTGAAAATACGTTTTTGAAAGAAGTGGCAACCAATGATATGCTGTTTGCAAATACAAGTGGTTCTTCTCTGTGATCCTTGCCAACAAAAGAAAAAAAATGGTGTCATTAACATTGAAAATAAAATACAAAGACATTTTTAACCATTGCTTGTTCTGTGAAAACAATTTTTATTTCCCAAAAGGACAGAATTCAGAATATGTTGATAAGGGATGGAAATGTGGGAGAAAAGTGAGAATGAAGATGTGTGCAGGATTTAGGGTTAGTTCTTAAAACTTGAAAGTCCAGCAACATTTTTTTTTATTTTCAGCACAGATTCTAGCTATAACGGTACTAATCAATCACAACCCAAAATCCTGGCAGAATTTCTGCATAAGAAAAGGACTATTCCACTAATATCTTTCTTCCCACAGGACAACCTAGAATATTTTCTTGCCTCTTCCTATTCTATGCAGAGAAGGTGCTCGGATTGTCATCTTTCTTCAACACTAGAAAAGCATTTTAGTTTACAGGAGTCTACGCAAAGCATAGAGCTTTCTCCTCTTAACATCTTCCTCCAACAACGGCCTTGATTTGCCTCATCCTTAGCTTCTCACAGGAATCTGATAAGCCATTATGTAGTCTGGTCAAAAGGCTACATAAAGACTCTTCTGTACTCACAAAGCATAGGTTTTGTGAGTGTTTTGATTTACAACTTCAGAGTGCTTTTACTCATTGGTAGTAAATAGGGAAAGGCATTTGCTTTCTAGTAACCTGGGAAATTTTGCTGTAATTCCCCTTATCATTCAGTATTCTAAGCAATAATGCAAATTAAAAATTCATTTTACAAAAAAAAATAATAATCTTGAATACACTAACAGTCCATGTTTATATTATAATGATAATGCATATAGTCTGCCCACGGATAGCTTTAGGCAATGCCAGTGAGGAGCAAACTAAAGAGTGGCTCACCTGTTTTCCCTGACACTGAACACTTCTCCATGTAATTCATTGCAATTAGATTAGATAAGAGTATGCATATGTGCCTGTTGCTTTATGGTGACTCCATGAATTTAATAGGTTTTTTTTGGGTCAAGGAACTATAAGAACGATACCTACAGACTAGGTTTGTGCATTTCGGCTGAACCTCGATCCATTTCTACTGGCTGGATATCAGTAGACCCCTGTATCCACTTTCACATGCCTCCCAAAAATGTGTGGGTAGCCAGATAGCTGTTTTCGGTCCATAGCCAAAAAATGCAGCTAGATCTAGCCCATTGGTGGCAATGGGGAATTTATGAGGCTCCCCTTTCAGTTCCTGGGACCCTTTCTTTTTTCCTTCAAGGGAGCCTGGGTGTCAACAGCAGAGTTAAGAAAGCACCCTTCCTGAGAGCCTTTTCTTTTTTCCTTCAAGGGAGCCCGGGTGCCAGCAACAGGGTTAAAAAAGCACCATATCCGGTCCATTATGGGGGGAGGGGGACTTCCCACAGGCTCCCCTTCCATATCCTTCATTAAGATCTGGATTAAAAGCACCAGAGTTAAGATACCACTCTTTCTGTGATCCTTTCCCTTGTGTTTGTAGAAGTGACTGGGTTTAATGCTTCGTTAAAGCTGTTTCTGCTCTAGAGAGACACTGCAGGCAGGCATGCACTTTCTCTCCCTGCAGCATGCCACACAACTTTTCAAGGCATTTTAAGGAGGCCCAGGGAAGGAAGAATGATAATCTGGAACTATCCTCTCTGAGCTTCATTAAAAAAAACTCTCTTTTTTTCCTCTACTGCAGGCTCTGCCTGGAGTGGGCAACTTTTCAATCTGCTTTCTGCTTCGGGTGTAATGCTTCCTTAAAGCCGTTTCTACTTTCTACCCTAGAGGAGAGGTAACTAGGTGGTAGTAGTTTTCAGAGAATGAGGGTTTTCTTTTTGTTTGCTGGGATTAATAATAATAATAATAATTATCTTTTAGAAATATTTGAAGAAAGGAAAGGAGAAAAAAAAGCTAAAAGGGTGACTCTCGCAAGCTCCCATGCGGACCCCACCCACCTGTCCCGAACATCCCCAACTCCTAGTTAGTCCCACTAAATAAAAATAACCAAGAAAATCAAGGAAAATCAAGGAAAATAAAAAAAAGATTAAACTGTGATATCAAATAGGGGAGGAGGAGCTGAGATTGGCTGCCATGTGGTCCCGTCACAGATGGGAATCTGTGACAGTTGGGCCCTTGCCATTATGGGCACCCAAACAAACCAAAAAAGCTGGATTGGCTGTATGAAACAATTAAAAACAGATCCATGCTCAGGCCTACTACAGACATGATACATGGATGGGAAGAAAATGTACAAGTACGTATGGAAGATGAAAAAAAATCCGCTGAGGCTGGTAGATGTTTCCAAGCTGTACACTCATTTTAGTGTTGAAGTAAGACCACTAACAGTTGATATCATATGTATTCAGGACAGACATTATAATAATAATCAGAATTTGGACTGAACTGATCCTCTAAGTTTACAATCATATAAGCACCTACTTGGCAGAAACTTCAGTTGAAGTCCACTTGGGTTCCTTCTCAACACATAGAGAGATGAAGAAATATATTTATGCAATAAAACCCTATTCATATTTTGTGGGTAGTATAACTTGGTTCCAGCTACATTGGTGCACAATAACTGTAGCAAACAAATTAAAACACATGGATAGATAAAAATATGAAATTTCAGTTGTACCTGGACAAGATGCTTTGTAGATTCACATTCCAATAACATCAGTGACAGCAGACCAACTTAACTAAAATGGAATGGAAATACTTTCAGGGAGGTATATAAAGTGTAAGATTTAAACATAGTTTGGATAATTTGAATTTGAGCAATGATCCATGATCCAGTTTCAGTCTTTATGGCTTCTTTATCACTCTGTAGTCAAATAATAAGTTATATGGAAGATGCTATTTCAGAAAAGAAATTCAGCCAGGCTATTTCATTTTTTGGGAACCAAGATTAATTTTGCAGTATTGTTTTTACTTAGAATAAAGAATAATTGGTTCAGATATTTCCTAAAACTATATGTCTCCAGTTTGGTAAGCATTTACTTCCCTGGTGAATCAAGGACATGTGTTCAAGTTGCACTTTGTCTAGCATACACACAGAATCACTTGAGATTGCTATATACCAGTTCTTTTATATAGTTTCTTTGTCACTATTGACCCAGCAGCACAAAAATGTATTTCAGCAAAGATCATCTATAAACTATTGGTCAAAGTGACCTTTTGATCAGATGACATGTGTCTAAGATTCCAATCCTGTAAACGATTTTATACAGGGGTAAAGTCCATTGAACTCAAATGGGATTCATTTCTAAGTAGACCTGCATAACATTTTGCTAGTCGTTTACTGTGCATCTATGATTCTGACATGGAACAAATTATGACTATGTTGTCTACAGAACACTTACTTTTATTATGCAGGTAAAGATGAATATTTTGAAATGAATATTTTCAAAAAGTCATAAAGAATCATAAAAATATTCAAATTGCTTTTTGGCTATGGCTAGTTATACAGATTGCATTCAAATATCTTGGTGAAGTTTTTACAACTATGCATGCACATTTCAATGCGGTTTTAATTTGTGATTTGTTTTACTTCGGGGATCCTAGAAGATGTAGGACAGCCTAACATATTTTTAGCAAATAGAAAGAATGGAGAAACAAAAACATTCAAAGTCAAGTAATTCCATACAAAGATAAACTTTCAGATTACATTATGAACTAAAAACTATATAGATTGCTAGAGAAAGGGGTGGTTATTCCAACACGGTTTCTCGTATGTTTTGTTTATAAGTTTCTAGTAGCATATCTCATTCAAATTAAAGAATGACTATGTCTCTTTTATTTTGTATGAAGAAGTTCAAACTTTTTTTGTGAAGCCTCTTGGAAACAAAAATATATAACAAGCTCCCTGTGCAATTTCCCCTAAAGAAAAAAAGAATAATTAAATTGCACCCATTTACTTCAGCTCTTCTTAAATAAACATACATGGAAACTTACAAGGATACTTACAGGTACAGGGCGGCTGTCATGCTGGAAATCAAAAGGTGCAACTAAATCACAATACTGTCCAAGAACTGGATCACTTCATTTAATGCCGAACGTGCCCCAAGTGCTTCATTTCATTGCTCCTCTAAACACTGCCTATAAATATGAATGACGGGGAAATGCCCAGTTTTTCTTGAGGACAAAAGCATCTCCTTATTGTTGAGTTGAAACGGCTTAGAAAGGGAAAACCCAGGAGATAGCAGTATATAGTTAATGTCTATTTGGTAAGTTCTGATAAATAGCTGTGATAATGCTGCTAAGTAAGCATACAGTAAATTCAATGTGTCCTGGCTGGAAGGACTTTATTTCCTTGTTTCATTTTCTACATTCAAACTGTATATTATTCTTAAACATTGATCCAATGACTGGTTGGACTGCAGGTTTCTGAGATTCAACACAGAAAGGGACTAGATTAAAGGATTACGAGGACATAACTTTGTGCTTTATTCTGAAGTTTGTTCCGATATAACAGAAATTGTGCTGTGTATTGACTCAGTTATTCCAAAATAGTACACTTTCAACAAAAAAAGAAAAAAGCAAAAGATAGATAGATAGATAGATAGATAGATAGATAGAGAGCAAAACCCTCTGATTTATTGGACTCACGCAATAACAGAAGCCTCAGATTTCTTTCATAAGCTACAATTTTAATGTGATTAGATTTTTTTTACTGTTAATCATAAATGCAAACTGCAATCTTGTACATACGCATACCAAGGAATAAATGCTATCCATTGCAATAGGGCTGACTTCTTTAGAAGACATCAATTAGGATTGATGCTGAATTACTTAAAAGATGAAAAACAAGAATAATCACTGGAGGTGTTCAAGTTGACATGAAAATATCCCTAAAATTTTCCATCTGGCTTTTTTTTTTTGGCCTTTTCTTTATATTAAGAGTACATGCAGCAGTTAGAATCTTGTTTTAAGGAGCAAACACACCGATGGCTTGAAGAAACCGAGCTTGTAGAAATTAAAATCTTTAGAAGCTCCACTGACTGCCAATTTGTTTCTGGGCACAATTCAGTCTTCTCATTATGACCTATATACCTCAGGTCCAGGCAATCAAATCTCTTTTTATGAACCCGCCTGGGCCCTGAGATCCTCAGGAGAGGCCTTTCTCTCAATCCCAAGCTCAGCTGGTGGGAACACAAGGGAGGGCCTTCTTGATAGCTGTCCCTCAACTCTGAAACTCCCCTTTTCCCTGAGAAGCCAGAACAGTGCCCTCCCAGCTGCAGACTAAAATCTTTTTGAGGATCATGTGGTCTGCAGATCATGACTGCAGCCCAAAGCATTTATCATAGGTTATGTTGTCAAGATCTATGAAATGTGAGGTATATATTTTTTTAAAGGGCTTGATTTTCTATCCTTTATTACCCTATTTGATATTATGGGGTTGGGTAGTGGTGGTGGTGAATTGGTTGCTTCTATCCTTCCATCATTTGCAACCGAGTTCCTTTTCTATATGGAGCAACTAGAAATAAGTCCTAGAAGAGGAAAAACATATACTCATGTTTTTCATCTTCTTTTAAAAAGTAGGTCTATAGCAGGCACATTGTGGGCCTGGCTGGGAGGGCCGAGCCAGCAGGGAGGGGAGGCAGGTACACACTGGATGGGGAGAGCCTGGAGCCCAGGAGGAAGTGGGTCCAGGAGGGGGCAGGCCAGGGCCCGGATCACCATCAGGTTCTCCTCCAAGCATAAGGATGGGGCTACTCACCCCATCCTCATGCTCGATTGCAGGACACACGGCATCTGTCCTGATCCTTTCCCCGATCCTTGGGCATTATGCCAGGAGGAGAGCAAGACAGGTGATGGCTGAGAGTGCTCCAGAGGGCCTTTTGCCACCGTGTGCTTTTCTCGAGCCGTCCTCCTGGCAGAAGAATGGGACTTCTTGCACTGTCCTTATGCCAGAAGGGGAAGGCACAAGGTGGCTGAGAGTTCTCCAGTGGGCTCTTGGCTGCTACATGCCTTCCTCCCTCTTCTTTTTTGCCATAAAGACATGGTGGGCTGCCGTTTCCTTCTGCAAAGAGGACAGGGAAAATGAGGAGGGCCTGAGGTAAGCACCCAGACCACATCTGGCCCCCGGGTCTTAATTTGCCCATGTGTAGCCTATAGGGTAAGTTCACTATAAATCATCATAGAGCAAGTTTCTCCATCACAATCTTCTCACTTTCTATATGTAACTCATCGCAGTGCGTGTCAATTATCATGCATTACTGGGAGAAAAATATCCTTTAAAAGCTACTTACCACTGTTCTTTAATGAGGAAAAAGAGTATCAAGTAATTGTTTCATAGAAAAAGGTAGACAAGCTAAGAAAAGGATGGTCAATCCACTAGAGGCTGCCAGCCAATTGAAACCTAGAGATACATGAACACTTGTGGGAGGACAATTGATTGCATACGAGTTTAATGGAATTATCTGGTTAGACATGGAATGCTGGAGAAGAAAAGCATTGATCTAATTTTAGTGGCCTCTACTTTGAGTTCTAATACTATTAATAAATTGCAGGCTACAAGAGTGCAATGCTTTGCACAGGCAGCTCAGTGCTCTTCCCAATGATAGAGCTGGGCTTTTAAGCCCCAGGGACACCACTGGGGAAGGTAACCAGGAACCTGTGCACCTGAGGGGGAGGGGGTGAGAGCTGAAGTCAACCTCTTGGATCCCTAACCTTGTGCTGCAGATCTGGGAGAGATCCCAGCTCTTTCCCAACCACAGAATGCAGTCAGGATTGCTACTGGCTGTCACCTCCTCTGCCTTGCCAGTAAATTGCCATGGGAGCGTCATCATTGTTTGAAAACTGTCGTGCGTTTGGATGTTGCAGAGGGATAGTTATTACTTCCTTATGTAATGTTCAGAAGAAGATGCATGTGTGCTTAACTCATTTGTAGACATTTCCCATCAACAGGATGCCAACTATTATATTTTTTGGAGTGCAATTCCTTCAATACTCCAGCTGTCAAAAGGCGAAAGATTTATACGATCTGAAGAGAAACCAGAGCACCCACACCCCCTTCCCTCCCTTTCTGTCCCCCCCGCATTTCCTCTACCCCCACCCCCCGGCGACCTCCCACCCTCAAGCCCTATCTCCTTTCCCCGTCACCCTGCCCTACCCCAACATCCAAAGCCCCTCTGTGTTCCACTGTATGTATTCAATTGAAAATGTTAATAAAGAATATTATACAAAAAAATACTCCAGCTGTCCAAATTCAGAAGTTCTGGAACTTGTAAGCCAAAATGTAACACAACTAATCTCTGGCAAACACAATATCCTATGATGATTCTGAGAATCATAGAAAGAGAAGACAGCTCTGGAAGCAAATATATTTTAACAGAGAAACATGCAGAATCACAACATATTGTTTACTGTACCATAACAGGGTAAGTTTTGGAAGAAAAACATTGTTACTTAGTGTATCAAGCAAGACAGAGGACTAGTATGCATGATTTATCTGATGAGAACTCTGAATGCATGCTTTCAGTACATTTTACCCAAAGGCTAATAAATAAACAAACAGACACAACTGTTACAAAATTATCTTTATTACTTGCAATATCTGTTTTTCCATCTAATTCACTAACATATTGTGGGAGAATCTACATTGCCCTCCAATCATTAAAAATATAATATGCAGAATGGCTATATTTTCACCAACTAGATATCGATTTGCAATTTTGATTTCCTTCCCTGATGAATGAAAGTGCTTTAACGTATCACTGTATTTTATAAAAAGCTGATTGACTTCAAGCGTTTAAGACATTTATTGAAAATCTCCTCTTATAAAACAGAAAAGGAACAAGTGATATTTTGAAATGCTATAAAAAGAACTGCAGATAATCAGGTGTTCAAGTAAAGTCAAAAGAATTCTGCAGTACTTAACTGCCAAAAATAATACGAGTACCAGAGAACATTTAAGTGAGTCTCCCATACCCACTGAGGTTTGATTCCAGAACCTGCTGTGGATACCAAAATCTGTAGATGCTGAAGTCCTGTAAAATGATATCCCTTTTGTAAAACGATGAATAAACAAACGAGTGATGGAGAAAGTCTAAGAATTTGTCAAAATATGAGAGACTATAGCAAATGGGTATTTTCAGACATCAGCATAGTGCTTGGAGCTTAGCAATATATATATATATATATTTGCTTTTTGGATTTTTGAGCCCTTGGTGAATCTGTAGATGCAAAACCCTTGAATACAGATGGCCAAGTGTATCTGCAAGGTAAAATTCCTACTGTTGTTCTTGTTCTGGAAGTTAATAGGTTATTATCTTGACCCATACATGCACATGGGATAAATGTTTTTGTTAGGCTAGATTCAGACAAATCACAACTTTCCTGATGCCCTCCCACACTGTATTTTTGCTTCAAAGCTTAGCAACCATGCTGTTAATGATTAATTCCAGAGTTTCTGAAGGCATTCTTATTCCACGTAAATCCTTTCTTGCAGGGACTGATATACAGTAGAGTCTCACTTATCCAACATAAACTGGCTGGCAGAATGTTGGATAAGCAAAAATGTTAGATAATACAGAGGGATTAAGGAAAAGACTATTAAACGTCAAATTACATTATGGTTTTACAAATTAAGCACCAAAATATCATGTTTGAAATCCAAAACACCTGAAAGACCATAGCTGGGAATACGCTGATATAGAATCATAGAATCACGGAGTTGGAAGAGTCCTTGTGAGCCATTGAGTCCAACCCTCCTCCAAAAAGGAGGAAAATCACATTCAAAGCATATACTGTAGATTAACAGTCTCTAGAATCCTATATTGAGCATAGAGGAATGTCAACACTGGAAAACCAAAGTTTGCTAAACATTAATTTGGTCAACTCTCTCCAGAATCCCATCTGGAGCTGGGTGGCTCTTTGTTGGGAGGGCTTGGCTTGTGCCTTCCAGCCTAGCAAAATGGGGCTGGACTGGATAGCCTCTTAAGGGAGGGGGTCTCTTGCGTTTCTAGGATTCTGTGCCTCTAATTATGCTTGCTTGGATTAGAAGAGGAGGAGAAGAAGCCCAGAAGTGCAAGTTGCTTCAAGGCTATCAGAGATAAAAAAGGAAGGAGGAAGAAGAGAACATGTGAGGGAGAAAAAGGAAGGGAGGAGAGGGGGGGATCTGGAGCAAAGTGTGTGTAAGTGCAGGAAGAAAGGGGGTTCCTCCGCCCACCCGGCCAGATAAGGTGACGAGACTTCTCTCCCACTTTCCTTCCTTACAGCCACCAGTCCCCCCCCCCCCCCCCCCCCGATTTGGAAACAAGGCTGGGTTGGAGAGGAGTCTCCAAAACAGGAGAGCAAGGCTCTCCGTGTGTCAAGAGCAGAGAAAGATGAGAACCATCGCGTTTCCTTTTTCCTCCCTCCCTCCTTTCTTTTCGCCCCTCTCACCCCTCTTTCTTTTTTTGATTCGCCCCCTTCCCTCCCTTCCCTTTAGAGATGCGCTTTCCTCCTTCTCTTCCAAGTTTTTGCGCACGGGAAAGAAAGCCACCTGCTCCCATGAGCATATATCAAAGAGTGCGATGTTTCCCTTCCTTCCGGGAATGGATAATATGGAGTGTAGAATAATATGGAGTGTTGGATGAGCAGAACTCAGATAATGAGACTCTACTGTCTTTCCAATTTGAAGCAGGAGGAAGTAACATGACCCTGCTCCAGACAACAGTAACATCTGATAGTAGTTTACATACTTGCAATTAGTATACATCTGGAAAATTGTACAGAACTATTACACTGGTTATAAAATCAAGACAGCAAACCAGTGGAATTGGCTTATGTGGTGTAAGATTGACACTCATATTTCTGTGTTCAAGTGAAATCTAACAACATTGTGATTGTGGAAGGTGTAGCTTACAATATTTAGAAGGAAAAGTCTGATTCCTCAACGGCAGAAGAGTTAGGTAACTAGTCCACAGTATCATGTTCCCCATATTCTTTGGACTACTATAAGATATAGCTACTCCCGTGGCCAACACACCCTTTTGTATTTTGCTTGAAATACTTGAGATAACTTTGGCCTGCTTGAAGATTAGAAGACTAGATGTCACTTCTGGTTTTGATAAAAGACTTTGCAGTGTAAAATGAGGCAGGTAGCCATTCAAATGTTGAAATTGCTGAAATGGATCCATAAAAAGAAATGAAAAGTCTAGATGGCTTCCAAGGGCTACATGCAGTAAACAGCCTACACTTTGTTTGTGTCTGAAGTAAACAACTGCAAGAAAACAGGGTGGAATTAATTACATTATTCCACTGATGAAATAAATTCCATGAATATAAATTTGTTGTGTATACTTCAAGTTGTTTCTGACTAAAGGTGACCCTAATGTGAGGCTAACAGGGAGTTTTCTTGGCAAGATTTCCTCAGAAGAGGTTTGCCACTGCCCTCCTCTGAATCTCTGAGTATAACTTTTCCAAGATTACCTCACCTTGGAAAATTAGCAAACTGCAATTTTTTTTATGCCCCTGATATTACTTCTCAAAATAGAAGTGCCAGAAGTTGTGTTGGAGCCAGAAGTTGTGTTGGAGAAGATACTAGACTGTAGAGAGAAGACTAGGAGGAAGATACGTTCACTGCTAGATTATACCCTTAATGTCACTTATTTCAAAATTAATTATTGCGAATGAGTACACTGATAAGCTGGAATGCTTAAAACTAGAGTCTGGATTTGCTACTGAATTGTTCATGCACTGAACAGATTGTACACCTTGCTTATTGTTGAGTCATTTCTATAAACCCCTGGAAAGCAATTCAAATATTTCCTAATTTTTAATAAGTTGTATACAATAAGTGGGGGAAGAGAAGCTGAAACTCATTGAAATACAGGGATTCTAGATGGTGAAAACATAAAATGGTTACTCTAAGCAGGTTAGATTCTTCTCTTAGCCATGCTTTAAGGACACTCACCTATTCCGAGACTGAGCAATATATATGCTGAATGGCACTATATTCTGACAATGTCAACATTAATGATACTATGCATATATGTTGTTGAAGGCTTTCATGGCCAGATTCACAGGGTTGCTGGGAGTTTTCCGGGCTGTATGGTTGGATGTTCCATTCTTCTGGAACATGGTCATACAGGCCGGAAACTCACAGATACTATGCATAATTTAATTACTAAACATTCAGCAAACTTTGGTCACAATCCCATACTTTTTACACCCTCTTTTTCTCTTATTTAGATAATGCTTTCAGAATATATACCCAAACACGTATGCTGAAAGAATGAAAATGAATGTTGTGTCTTTGATGACCTCCGTGATCAGAAACCAGGAGGCATTGTGCATGGCACATGTGATGGGGGCATGGTGGTGGGCTATTTAAGGCCTGGCTGCCCCTTCTTGTGCCTCTTTCTATGTGGGTTAACACAGAATCTTTGGATGCTTTATACATAGGTTTGGGTTGCTTCCTTGCATGTTCTAACATTTGTTTTCATTGGCCAGAGCTCTAAGGGGCTGATGACATTCATTGTCAAAAGGCAATTTGATCTTACTGAAATACTTGAAAAGGGGGTGAGTGAGTTATTGGCTCTTGCTCTTGTCCATGGTAGGGAGTGGGAGAGAACACAAGACTCTAGTGTACACTCTTGGCAGGATAGGGCTCTGAACTGGTCTCATAGGTCCTGTGACCCAGAGTAGCGGTGAGGAAGGAGTCAACCCCGGAAGCTGACTTGGGGGTTTTGCTCTCGCTTTCCTTTGACTTGGATGGGAGTACCCTAAGTTTACCTTCCAGTAAGTCACCAATCAGGGATCAAGCCAATTACTGGATCACCGTCAGGGCTCAGGTGCTTCAGCCAAGAGAAGGTTGAGCAGGTATTCTAAAGTGACACCTGGTCTCAGCTGGACCCATATAAGTTACTCCCCCTCTAGCTTATTTCGGGTCCAGTTAAATTAAAGATGATATGGATCAAGTAAAGTAGTTCTTATTTCACCCCATCTTTCATATCTAGTCTTGTTATTCTATGGCTCATCATCAAA